CTTTTGTTCCTGTCACGTTGTGAGTCCGCCCCCTCCGAGTGACCCGAGGGAAGCGGCATAAGACCCGTCACCCCGAATCACCGCCCGGCCCACGACAGCCGAGCTCATATGCAAATGTGTCGGCATGCGCAGATTCCAGAGTATGACATATCAATTTGAATATGCATGTTCGACACTGACTGGAGCGTATACACCCCTGTATGTTCAGGGCTCAGTGCTCTGGTGTGCATGTGTGTGTGTGTGTGTGTGTGTGTGTGTGTCTGAGCTGATCCTGCTACGTTATGGTGACATTCCCGTCGGGAAGGAGCCTCACGACTGTTTCCATTAGTCCGACTGCCCGTATCTCTTCAGCGGGGCAGGCCAGGTGAAAGCGACGTCTGATTTGGACCACACTCTGCGGGCTTCACTCTGTCCGTCTCTATATTCGTGACTTGCTGCTGTGTGACGCTTACTGTACATCTTCTCCAAGTTAGGATTTGCTGCTTGTTCTCGGTTTCACATAATTGTTCATTATATACACTTTTTAGTTTGTTGGCTGCTGGTGAGACAGTAAATTCCACATTGGCCCTGGGAAAACACAACGAAATACCTTATCTTATAGAGGTTATGCAGTTATCACACAATAAAAAAATCATGAGAATTATTTAAAGTGGGAGCTCCAATAATGTCCAATATTTCCCATGACATGATAAAAAATGATTGAGGTCAACAGTGTTGAATCAGTAACAGACAATGAATCTATTTCTTCTCCTATTTCAGTCTACAAAATGTCAGATTTTTAAATATATCAATAGAAGCTTCTCCTTAACCAACCAACGTTTAGTATAAAACGAGTATAACGAGTAACGAGAGTATAACACCAATCACGTATTTTATACTAATGCACTTTAAGAAGTTAAAAATGGCAAAAGTTCTGCACTTTGACAAATAAGTTGAGTTGATTTATCGGTTACAGTTGTTGCCAAACAATTTACTGTTAACCAGCAAAAAAAAAAGAATGAACAGATGTACCCAGCTCTATGATTAATGAACTAAATTAAATGTGTGTTCTTACCTTGAGAACAACTTGAATGTGTGAAAGAAGAATATAAAGTGTGTTGCTCCACTATTCACATGCATCAGCAGTGGGTGACATGGATCACGCCGCTTTCTTTCTTAGTCAAAATCACACATTTCTCTTCTATTTTTAGCGAATGGAGGGCTGAACAGCTGTTGAGTCACTGAAACACGTGCACTGCCACAACTGGAAACACGGCTGCTGAGCGAAGGGTCACGGCCGACCGTGAGGCTCGTTTTCCCGAGGAGTCGCTGTGAGTCACAGGGAGCACGACGCAGCCGTCGCGTTTCTCCTCCTCTGATATCCGTGGTTTAGAACACAAAGCTCTACACCTGTCCTTAAATTTACAGTAATTCACATTACTGTGATTGACTAAAGTAGACAAATATATTACGGTCAAAAGCTTTCAGATCATCATTTTCTCAATGTAATGATTTTATTAACAGTTTTAATCCTAATTATCTAAAGACACTCAAGCACATCTCAGAAACCACTGCTTATCTTCATAGGGAGAGAAGCACCTTCCCTCTGCATTTACTTTAATGTCATTTACAGGAACCGCTAACCAGAACATGCAGAATAGAGTACACAGTGTCAAGCAGAGGGAATCCAGACTATAGTTGGCAGGCACGAAGACGCCGTTCTCCCCGTTGCACTTTGAGGATGAAGGCTGGCAACGTGCTCACGTGTGCAGAACAAGATACACACATTATACCTTCATATTTAATCTGCACGGAGGTGCAGTGGAGGACCTCCTACTGTCTTTCTCAACTCATCCACAGCGCTGCAGTTACCAATCGCTCACATAACCTTTTTTTTTGCTAGTAGAATAAAATTTGAGTGTGCTGCAAAACACCTGCTACTCATGTACGAATGTTTTCAATGTGGCTAAGATCATAAAATGTGCCTCTTACTGTACCGGCTCCACGTCACACGTTCTGAAGGGAGGAATTGGGAAAATCAGGAAGTGAATTACTCCAATTATTCAAAATAGCTGCCTATAAAGCAAGTAATTGACTTAAACACATCCCGCAGACATTTCACTGGACAATTACGATAATTGTAAACGCCGCATTTAATTGCAAGTGATTAACATCAAAACATTATAATAATAGCATAGAGATAAATAGTTTGATACACATAATATACCAGTGACATTTAGAGAGTAAAGGGATTTTAATAGTGGAAATGAGATAATTTATTCTATGACTGACGCTGATAAATATTGTATATTACTGAATTGTGAACATCTGGTTGTGTGGTAAAAATTTTTATTAATCATATCTTGAAATGAAGGGAACAAAGATTGCAGATTAATATAATATTAAACCTAACATATGCAAAATTCTGTCTTTAAGTGACAATAACAACACCTTTTATTTCCATTTATATTTACGTGTGTAAGTGTAAGATGAACCAGAACAATCTGTATCTGAAGGGTTAAAAGCAAATCTCCTGTGCTCTTAATTTTATATAGATTTATTGATTACAACCCCCAAGAGTATTATTCCAGCTTTCCACTGTGAATTAAAAGAGGAACAGTATATGGCAATATTGATTTTTCTTTTGTACTAATTAAGAATAATATAATATGGTGTTCAAACCAAAATGGTGTCTGATAGAAAGCTTCGTACATCAATTTCTGTACGAAGCTTTCTATCAGACTGATGAAAAGGAATCACACTCCTTGATGATAAAAATGATTTTGACATGCAGAAGATTTGACTACGTGCTTTGCACTTGTACAATGTAAACATGCGCAGTTTAGGTGCTTGTCGTTACATTTCATAAAAAACGCTTAAGAGCTTTAATGAATTAGCTACACTTTGAACAACTACAACATCATAATGCTACTCACTAAAGGTGTCTGTAATGAAATTAAAAAATGTAATAGTATGATAAATACAGCATACATACTTACTTAAAATACATGCTAATAAAATGTGTGTATTGTTTTGAACCAACATTTTTCAAGATAATTGCGTAATTGAGCAGTTATACCACAGTATTCCTTCTTTAACTTAAGTACTTAACTTAAGTTGTTGCAAATTGTCAGGGTTGTTCTTCGCAACTGATGAAAATGTTGAGGTGCCTTTGCTTGGATTATTACTGCTTTTTTTTTTAAACGCGGCTGAAACATTAATTGTTTTGAATATATTACTGGATGTGTTATAAATCCATTTCAAATCAAGGCTTCATTTCTCAGACTTTTCATCTTCCATGGCCAATTTATTGCTTATCATATCTTTTTTTGTAGGAGTATAGTGTTTATTTCCAAAAGTGCAATAATACAGAAGATTCTGTATATTTAAAATGGAAAAGGAACAGCAGCACATCGGTCGTGCTACTGGCTGAAGTGCATTTCATTGCTGCCACACAGAATCTGCTCCTCATCTCTCTCTTTCTTTCTTTCGCTCTCACTCTCAATCTCTCTCTCTCTCCATCTAAAGGGCCAACTTCTCCTTCTCTCATATGGGTTTCTCCTTCAACCCACAGGCAGTGAAACAATGGTCTTTAGGGAGAAGCAAGGTGGGCGAGGAGTTGGGCGTCAGAGATGGACGGCCTGGCAGAAATTGTTCCACATACGGAAAATGTAATCTTAATCAATACGCAGAGCTGTGAGTTGCTACATTGCACTTACTGGATAGAAAAAAGAGAGAAGGAATGGAGGGCAAAAGGAGGTTATGCTTACGTGCGTACTGGCAGCTTACCAAAAAATGAAATCTTAATAAATGCATTGCTTCTATCCAATAGTTACACAGAAAGAGCACCGTCCACCGGCACTCTGCTCTTTCAGTTGGCAATATCCCAAACCCATCACCGTGACTTGACATATAGGGAGCGTTTCGTGGAGCTCAGGGGAGAAACTCATTATCGAGGCTCATATTTGAGGCATTGCTGCTATTTGGCATTGACAAATGCTCAGCACGGGCACCAATGTAACGTATTTCAAAGGCATCCAGCACCATGAAACGGTTTCTCATCATTTTGAATAATGCCGTGTGCCGACCAGGTTAACCACTTTGGTGGTGGGAGAGTTTCTTTTGATATACTGACTTAGAAGAATGATGAGACAATCACTTAGGCAGGGGTTATGTGTGGGGCTGTCCAACCCTTTGTTGGCACATTCGTGCTGTAAGAGAGGTGAGAGACTTTCAGAGCCACGGTGCAGCACGTATGAGTCAAATGATGGGTGTTTTTATATAATTGCTCAAAATGTGCTGTGTTTTTGGGGGGTTTATTCTGCTGTGCTTCATTTAATACACTTTACTGCTTTAATCAGCATTTCTGTCATCCTATTTTAAAGAATTAAGTTATGTAGCTTTTGATGGCGTGAGAGCCCAGTGTATGAAAATGGAAATTAATTGTTGGCAAAGCTTTCAACACTTGAAATATAAATATATTCATGATTAATGGACCGCAAGAGTTTGCCAATAACGTCATTCTAAAGTCTGCTTGTACTTCCACCAATTTAAACGATCCTCTCGGGGTTGAACAGAATCCCGAGGTGGAACGGCACAATACGTCCATGCAGACATTATTTGACAACAAAAGACTATAATGAGACGAGGCGCTTCAGTCAGTTGATCAGCATTGCTTTTAAGGCCAACATTGCGTTTGATTTGAGGCTGGCGGTGAACGCTCACCAATGGACTCATGGAGAGCATCTTCCACGCGTCTGTGGGAAGAAGTTGCTCTCTTGTTGCTCTCAGCTTGGCCCTCAACGTGCTACACACTTTGCACAAAACCACAGACAATCCAATGCGAATTCAAACAACAACAAAAAAAAAACAATCACAGTGCTGCAGCCGTCGTCTGCGCGCTTATATCGTGCGCCCGTGACCCCCAAACAGCGACTCTCACCAGGGGTTCCGTCGGGTTAGAAATCGGGAACCTGGATGGAAATCATTACAATATTGGGAATTAAAAGCCAAGATCTTACCGCTATGCGAGTCTGTGAAGATGTTCTAATATGTAAGATGATCCTTTTGTGAGGGGAAGGTCGTTTTGGACTCAATGAGGTCCAAACTTGAATCCCGCCGTTGGTTATCTGCTCCTCTTCTCGGGATGGAACCGGCACGGTGTCTCGCAGATGTCCCTCGCAGATGTCTTTATCTCATAGCGTCACCACGACACGCGTGAGCATTCTTTGTCCACAGCAGCCTCGCCACTGCGTCTTCCGTCGAGGCACGTCGTTTAAACTATGTGGTCTGCTGCGTAAAACCGGTGCCAAAATTCCTGCGGGCCCATTCTGTTACGGCGATGCTAAACAATAGTCTGGTCATTTTGGCAGGGGGAGGTTCGGGGGGGGGGGGGGGAGAGCTGAAGCTACGCCGCTGCCAAATGCTTCTGCATCAGCTAATTACGACCACATCTTGGGAGCTGGTTGGTCCATATCTCCGTGACTAGCTCTCGCATCGGGTAATAAACATCGCTCACATGTGCCGGTTGGCTCCGGTATTGTCTTTCGGATTCCTCGTGTTTTTTGTCCCCCTGTCCGCAGGCGAGGAGTGGACGGTGGAGTTGTCGATCTGTTGATAGCTGGAGGTCCAACTCACATCCAGCGGTGTCTTAGTCGGATATTTATCTTGCGTGGGCTCCCCGACGTGTGCAACATGCAGGCTGACGCTGGCGAGATGGGGTCTCTTTGAGTGACAGCTGGATTCTCCGACGGAGAGCTCGGTCACCTTTCCTTCCTTCCTTCCTTCCTTCCTTCCTTCAGAAGAAGAAGAAGCAGGATGGTGCGCGCAATTGTCTGTGACGGTGCGCGCACCCGACAGGTCACACATCTTCTGGGTCCACAGACATCTGCCTTGAAAAAGGCAGTCATTCCTGCTGTCATTGTCACTGTATGAAATGGTTTATTGAATACCTTAAATAACGATGTTATTTCATAAAATCCTATTTCTATAGCAGTACTTAATGTAGGATGTTTGTATGATTATTGTAAATCTCATATACGAGTATTCATACTGTACTTGCAGGTTGTAGGGTTTTTTTGCTGCATAATTATCCTGAATGGGATTTTTAACAGCTAAAAAATAGGATTACTATCTTTTATTGTAAATCTGGTTTGTGGTACGCACAGCATACACAGCAGTTAAATATGTGGAACGAGAAGAAACAGATAATGTATTCCAGATGCATAAAGAAGGGGAACACACATACGGCTCCTTTAGCTAATTGAAACTGCAGCTTGATTGTTTGCTCGCAAATTCCTCCCCCCCCCTCCATTCTGCAGCCTTGATGCACGCATACATGTTCACTCTCAATGTGTGCAGCTAAACTCTGAGATGGATTGGCTTCTATTGTCCCCTAAACTCTGCAATGATTCAGTATTGCGGGCCCTCGGGTGCAGGAGTCACGGTGTCACGTGCTCCGTGTGCAGCTCCGACCTTGACGGACCTCGTATTGTCACTGACCTGCTGGGCACTGATGGCGCCCTCCTGTGTTTCTGCAGGATAAGCTGCATTTGACAATTGAGAGTTGAGATGTCGGAATATATAGGTGTGATTCTCTTCATGGCGTCCGCCCAAGGACACATCGGCGTATAGAGGAGCCTGGGATCAAATGTCAACCCTCCAGTTGAAGGACGACCACGCGCTACCACGCAGCGACGAAATCACCCATAACAACATTATTTATTCGGTGTAATAACTGATAAATATCTGCCGAAAGCCACTTTAAATGTTGTCAAACGAAATATGGACAATAGCAGTTATTTGTAACCTCAAAGGGCCGACCGCACTGATAATAAAAATATGGATTACGAATGAATGTAAAAAGAAAATGTCATATGCCATGAATTATACATCAAAAATGTATATAAGAAATATCACAAAACTACAAAGGTCATAGCTGGAGAGAATTCATTACTGTGTGAGTGAGTGAGGAGGGCACACATGAAGCTGGGAGGGCAGGTAAAGTGGGACAAATTGGGACGGGTAACAAAATCAACCAGAGTGACAACTCTAATTAATTGTTGTCATAATTGTTCTAACAAAACTACTCTGAAATACCACCACGAGTGCTCTGCTGACAAAGGACCTGCTGAGCCATCTCCTAGCTGAGTGCTTTATACTATGCGGGCCAGTCCACCGTTAAGTGCAGGGGGTGAAGACATTCCTCCTCCGTAGTTCTGATGTGAAGGCTCCCCTGAACACCCCTCTTGTCGTTGCCTAATGGACCGGTCCAATTAGCCATCCAGTCTTTCGGCAGGATGATTGTCGGCCAGAAAATCCTGGTAGGAAATTGAAGACACTTTTCAAGGTTACCCACTGTTGAAATGTAAAGTACGTCAAACAAGTGTCTCAAGGAATACGAAGAAAAGCAGCAGCGTCGTCACGACCAGTTGTCGGTCTGGATAGTTGCAGCCGCCACAGTGTCATTAAAAGCCGAACAAAGCCACATTTAACGCGCAGTCAAAGCCCCCATATGTTTAAGGAGTTTCACCTTTGAATTGAAGTATTGAAATAAATGTACTTTTCTCTGATAGTCTTATTCATTGAGTTCGACCTGCATGTGAACAATATACACCGGAATGTCATGTGAAACATAAAAAGTATGTTTTGCAATAAATGTAACGTAGTCCTAAAACGTCATACAAAAGAAAAGGTCAGTTTATTGTAGTATGTAATGCACTATGAAAAAAAGAAAAGCGGTTTTATTATATAACGTTTGTATGTTAAATGTAACTGGAGACGGCTTTCCTTCATTTTCTCAAAACGTTTACCATAAAATAACACCTAAGATAACCTGAACAACTGAGCAAACTGACCAACCCTGAAGTCTAAGACGGTAATGAGGAAATTGTCCTTTTACATTAAAACAACACATCTGACATGGTCCTCAAAAAAAAAAGGTTTCCACAAAACCTTCTAAATGTTATGAGACAAAAAGAAAGCTGGTACTCCTTCGCTAGACTTTTAGCATAAAATGGTCCTGACTGGACTTGTGATGTTTGCAGGAAGAGACAAGTACGATTGAGCCACAGACACAGAAGCCGGACAGAGGTGTGCAGCTGCACAGGGACGAGGCCACGAGAGGTCAAATGAGAGGACGGGTTGACACAGGAAAAGGGCGACTGATGAGGCGGTTGAGAGCAGATGGAGGTGGAAAGGGGAAAAAGGGAAAGGTCTGACACGCAGGAGCAGGACGGACGCCCCCAGCCGGCCCCGTACCCTCGCTCTTGTCTATAATTAGCACGGGGAACACAGATTGTAACGAGCGCTCCGGGGCCTTGTGTTCAGACCGGCAAGAACTGCTGCCATCCGTCCCTCCTCCTCCTCCCCCCTCCCCCTCCCCCGCGGGGGGGCGAGGCACGATCCCGGGCTCACGCCAGCACTGTGGAGGACGGACGGCACCGTGTCGCCCGAGTGAACATTTGCTTCGCACATGTGCAAGAGTCCATGGCTGCAGATGCCATCTGAGAGGAGGGGTGGGGGGGTTGTGGGAATCAGCGAGCCTGAAAAGCATCCGGATACCTTCGATGAGTAAAGTGTCATCGCTGTATTTAGTGCTTCCGAACCGCAAACAGCTCTTCAGTTTCTCCTTCCCCTCAGCTGCTGCAAAGGGCAGAGAATCCCCCCAACTGCCACCGTCACCATCTGCGGGAAAAAAGAAATCCCTTTTTTTGTTTTTTGGACAGGATTGACATTCAGTGCAAATGTCAAAGCAGCTCAGGCCATCTTTGACTCCTCCGGTCCCTGGCCTTACCTTCCCCATCACCTCCCTCCCCTCATCACCTCCAGGACTGTTGGCTAAGTTGTCAGCGGTGACCGATGAAGGACGGAGCCGTTCGGACACGGCGCTCTTCTGCCGGCGTGACGAGACTCGCGTCGAGCCATCATGAAGTGTGGTTAAACGCCACACTTCTTCTGAGTGATTATCCACTCGACGTGTTTTGAAGATGGAAGACTTGAAAAACGTTGTGTTTCATCTTTCACAAAAGCACAGCTGCTGAAGTCAGCTGGAAAAATCTTTGGATGAAGCAGCTCTTAAACCCTCGAGCGCCATCGTGCAAAACATTGTTTTTACGCTTTAGTTATTTTCTAGAGGGGCCCGTCTCCAGCTCCCAGTCGACTGCGCGTCCGGTCCAGACTGGACCCAAGCTGACTTTCCTCCTGTTTGTTCGGTTTAGTTAATTTTGTATTTTGATAACAAATATACCGTAGCAAAGTTAACCGCATGTTTTTCTCCATCCTTTAATAGTCGTGGCTCACTCAGCTTCTTTTTGTAAGTTTGGTTCATTTGGACTAACATTTGAACCATGTGTTTTACCATACCCTCCATTATAGTACCTGAAGAAAACCTAATTTTCTTTTCTCCTCCGTTCTGACCACGAGGCCGCTACCCGACGACGCCCACATGGCGTCTCAGACACACACCATCAGCACAGCTCCACCTTTAGTACCAGTTTCCAGCCCCAGAAAATAGAGACAACTTAAACTTGCCAGATGCCCACCTCTATTTTCAAATATACAAGCCCTTCAAAGTAAAATCCTTGTGAGGAAGTGGGTTCTTTTGTGGACCAAGAAAGTGCAGAAAAACAAAACACAGATCTTTGAATTACACAGATTTATTTTATTCCGAAATATGCGAGACAAATAACATCCAATTTCTTTTTTTTTTTTAAACTTTCCGTGTCCTTTTAACCTACAAAAACAATGATCATTTTTACACATAAAAAAAGCTTTCACAGCCATATACCAAAAGGAAAGAACGCCTGGATCGATTCAGGTGTTGAGAGTCAGAGTAACCGCCGTCAAGCTCTGCGTTACTGTTAGTTTCCCCGAGTGCTCCTAAAAAGTAGGGTTTGGTGTTGCAGTCTCACATCGGGTAGTTGAGCACCACGTCCTGTTTGGCCAGCTCCAACAACATGGGGTCATCGAAGAACTTGCTGATGCTCACATCCTCACTGAGACCCTGCAGAACAAACAAAAAACACACGCGATCAGCCACGAAAGGTTGACCGAACCACCGTGACCAAATAATAGGGGGGTGGAAAAAGGCTCACCTTGCGCCTTCGGGTCTTGATCATGAACTCTCTGGCCAGGTGGGGGGCGGGCTGAGGCTCGAGAGGCCGGATCACGATGCTCTTGTCCAGGGGGTCACCGGGGACGATCTGAAAGGAAATGTGAAACGTGGTTAACGCAGAGAGAAGAGACGTGACGACATGAACTGTATTACAGGATCAGCATTAGCAAACCGAGTGGACACTTCAAACGCGGCGCCGACCTTTCACTGAATCTCTCATTCGGTTGCAAGTCTGTCTCCATTGTTACAGAGTCAGGAGTGCGTCCGTCAACATGATGGAAAAGCGACGCGCAAAAGTGCCGTCGCGGCTTCAGCTTCATCAGTGCAATGTCGGCAGAAGTATTCACAAGCTTTTAAAATGATTCACTGAATCAATTTTGTTAAGGAGCGTGCAGTGTGACCGTCACTATGAGATCTCATGGTCATGGATGTGACAGTCCCGCTAAATAGAGAGAAGGAATAAATTGGTATTTGGACCAAAGGGCGTGTCTTTTTGGATAAAAGGTGATTTCTGTTTAGCTCAAAATACGCGGGACGGCGGAACTAAAGAATTACTCTTGATTGAATGACGACGGTGAGAAGTAAAACATGCTGTTAGCTGACTGATTTCAGGAGTAGTCCAAGGGGAAATGTAAAACATGGAAATACACGTATGACCAATCTAGTTCTGCATTGACAAACCTCAACTGTTCATACAGGCATGTAAATAAATAATGCATCTCTTTTCTTACTCAACAATTGGATTTTAACCTCAATGGGGAATAAAAACATGAAACACATGCACTGAAGAAACCTCTCTCTTCCAGATGAATGCTTTCGCTGTTAGGTATTAATCCTCCCAAAGTGGAGCTAAATTTCCCCTGACACAGCTCTGCAGACTGCAGACACAAACACATGTCAGACATAGCACACAGGAACGGTTACACTCTACTTAAAAATTAATGACTCAACACTGCACATCAGAAGGAATTTAGCAGGAGTGGCAGACGTGTGCACAAGAGTTGACAGCGCTGTGCAAGCGGCCACAGTTTGGTGTGCAAGAGTTGGTGCTCTGGACCGACAGATAAAAACCTGTTTTGTCATCCGAACAGGGCTTTTAAAAAATTAATTATATATATATATGAAATTTAATATGAAAAACAAATGGTGAACATTTCCAATCTGGCAACATTGAGATCGGTCGACCAATGACGGTTCTCTCTACAGTCAGAGCTCGCGCAAGAAGGTGGAACGTAAGGGAGACACCATTTCCAACACTTAAGGGCGGAATAACTAGTTTGTGAAAGACCCAGAGAAACACAAATATCCGACGAAGCAAAATCCCGGACGTTTTTGGAAGCCCTTCCGGACGCATTTTTTAGGTCTCAAAAAGAGGACATGTCCGGGGAAACCTAGCATAACGCAAACCCAGGTAAAACGTTTTGCGTTTTATAATCCGGTGCGCCCTATGTATGAAAAATGTTCTAAAATAGGTCATTCATTGAAGGTGCGCCTTTTAATCCGGTGCGCCGTATAGTGCGGAAAATACGGTAAGTGATTGAGATGCTGCAACTGCACAACAGCTTTACGGTGGACAAAAACACATCGTTGCTGTAGATTTATGCAGCTCGCATCCGGAATATATGAACCTGGCAATTTCATTGACATGATGCGTTCAGGAAAAGTTATTATAATATATAATTATTATTTATTTCAGCGTAAAATTGTGTTCATATCGGTGACTGAAAAAAAACAAAAAAAACAATCAGCAGCTTGGACTAAATGTTCCTCACTTGGGAAGGAATTTCTGCAAAGCCAGATGATCAATTAAGAGAAATATATCTCTTGAAATGTACACATGGTTAAAATTGGTAATTAGCACTATTGATCTCAATTGCCCAACTTCTGTTATTTGCATAACTATAGTGGGTGGAAACCTTTCGGTATTTTGTTCAACTGGAGGGAACGCTGATTTTCGTCTACCTGCCAGTGGTGGAACACAGACAGGGCGAAGGCCTGTCCCTGTGTGTGCGTGCGAAGGTCGGTCTCAAAGCCGAAGGAGTCGATGGCCGGGATGAAAGCCTTGATGGTGTAGAGAGGAGACCCTGGAATAGGTGCATCCTGGGTCACATGACCCCTGTTCCAAGACAAGCAGAGGAATGCATTTAAAAAACATCAAATCCCTGTATTTTTAGATTACAGAATATTGTTACAATACTGCCTGATGGAAATAAAGGAGAATGAGTATGCCAACCTTCTTCGGGCCAGAACTGTGTAGACAGCAGATACGCAATCAGCTGGAGCCTGAACCTCCACAAAGTAATACGGCTCCATCAACCTCGGAGTGGCCTGGGACACGAGGGAGACCATACATTAGAATAAGGCGTGTGGGTGTATGAGAATGTATGGCCAGCCAATGTACGGCTACAACACAACAATTCGTGCACCGTAACATCCGGGTGAAGCTAAATGAGAGGAGCGATGCCCATATTAGGAAAGAGGAAAGGTATTGCACAAGATTCAACAATAACAAAGTCAGCAAAACACACAGCGTAATTCTGATAATGGAAAAATAAACAAAGGCATCGGAGCTGATGGCAGATAAGGAGAAGAATAGGCTTCCTCACCATGAGGAAAGCAGAGTACACCACCCTCCTGGCCGTGGGGATGACCTGGCCCCCTCCTCTGTGGAGAGGCTCCTGAGCAATGACGGCATCGAGGATCTTAAACTTGACATTCCTGATGGCTGGGAGCAGCAGAAAGACAAGCGTTAAGGGGACGTAACGCAACATTCTCCCTTCGCACAACGGCCACAGCTGCGGACATTCAGGCCAAAAGGAGATTCCAGCACCAATGGCAGCGCAGAGAAACAAAAGAGTACAAAAAGAAAAGGATAAATATTTACTCACGCTCATCACACAGAGGCCCCTCTCTGGTGCCCCACTGGAAGCCCTGAACGATGCTGTCTTTGACTGAGCCCAGCAGCGCCTTGTCCACCTACACAAGAGAACGACATCACGAGCCCGCTACAAAAAGTGTTTCCGTCTTAAGAAGCTTTGAACGATCTTGTCCCCACAATACGCCAGTGGCCAAAGGGAACACAACTCACCTCGGAGGGCAGCGTGTCATCTACCAGGATGTTTGGTCCCGTGGCGTCCGGTCCGAAGGCCCAGATGGACCTGGCAGCCAGCAGATCCCAGTCGTACTTTGTCTGGAAAAACTCTCCCAGCTTCTTCCTGCCACGAGGGAACAGAACAGCCACTGGTTGAAAGGCAGACTGCACATTGTGTCAGCGGCAGCATTAAGGAGATTGGTTGATCGGGGGAGTGTGTGGGGTTAATGGACGGGGAGCAGCAGAGCGGAGGTTCAGTTTAATGACGCGTGAAGTATGTCGCGTCTTTGACATCGTTGGGTATAGATAGCCTGATTGATGAGCCGAGGACGGACGGGAAGCAGCGCTTCAGCATCACGCACGGGGAGATTCATCCATGCTTTTAGTGGGAGATTCAATTACTGTGAGATATCTGATCGATATACATGGAGGGGTCTCTAGGAGACCACACACGAGTGCTTGTCTTCTCCTTAAACACTCAAACATAAATCTATTGCAATTTCTAAATATAGATTCATATCAAGTAGTGAACATTAATCTCATATTTAGCGTTTCTACGGTCGCTTTCGAACTGACGCAGTGAAGCAGAAATACAGTTTGTGTATTTCTTTAAGAAGGCCCAAGAGAAATTTAAGAAAAACAAACACTTGAATGCTTTACAGCAACAACGATGGACTATTAGGAGGATCATCACCCACAAATCCATAACTTTTCATTATAAAAAAAAAAAAAAAGACTATTTAAGCCCGAGGCATTTCTACAGCGCGCTACCTTAATGACATCATTTAATTAAAGAGCCAATCATGCCGGCTCCTTTATCCTTGCTAACAGAGGACGTAATGAAAACTAATGGCGGGCCAGAGTGGCTTTGATATACGGAGGAATTAAGAAGGCTTCTGCCATACCAGAATGAAATGGGGGGAAAATCTACACATCCAACATGAAAGGCACATTAATCCATTTAAATTATTCCAAGAGATCACAGGTTCAATGTATGCGAGCGGGATGGCGAGACCTGCTGCATCTAACCTGTTCCACGTGATCTGCACCACTTCGTTCTCGATGTCCTCAGCGAGCCCCTTCTCCAAGGGCTCGGCAATCATGGTGATCTTGTTCCTGTCAATCACATCACACGGCCGTCAATCGCTCATTCTGCAGCCAGGGGCCCAAACTGACAGTGACTGACAACTTTCCACAAAGAAATACAAATTAAAAACAGCTTGTCAGAAAATGATCAGAGCTGTGAGTCGAAAAAACCCATAAAATCCCATTTGATACGCACTTTTTGTTTGGCGTTTCAGCGAAGCACTTGAGTGAAGAAGTCTCTACAACCGTTTCGCAGAAGGTCACGACGGGGTCGGCGACCTGTGGACAAAAACCAGCACAATCACACAAAGAAACAAAGCGCTGCACTCTTGTGTGGCGCCATCGGGAATAGTTACTTTAATGTCGATCTCTGAGTACATCTTGCGCAGGTCGTGCATGACGCAGTCCAGGTACAGCTCTCCTGTGCCCAAGATGACATGCTCGCCCGATTCCTCCACCTGAAAGACAAACAACAATAATGTTGTGATCAGATCAGACTTGTCATGTTTGTCCGTCGTGCAGGACCCATATTTGTATTTCATTTCAAGAGAGACTTGCTGGTTAAACGTCCTACCGTATGACTGTAATCTGAGTAATTACATAGCAGAATATTCCGCTTGCTTAAAAGGCGTTTGGATTTAGTTTTGAAGGCCTATTGCCGGACCCCCGGCTGTACCTTTGTGGTGAGGGACGGATAGCTCTTGTTGACCTTCCTCAGTCCGTCCAACATCTTGGGTAGCTCTGAAGGGTTGACGGGCTCCACTGCAATCTTTATAACGGATGCCGTGTTGAACTTTAGTGGCCTGAAAATCTGAGCCTAAAGAGAGTTAAAAAAAGAAGAAAAAGATTAATTATGCCGTTTTGTAAGTTAAAATGGTCTCAGTCGTATTTCTGCCACTGGTCTCACCTCTTCGTTCCCTCTGGGCTCCGTGATCGTTGCCGTCTTGACGATTGGCTGATCGCAGCCTTCGATTAGAACCCAGTTTCCCGCAGGGACTCTGTTCACTTCAATTTGGTATCTGAAAATGTGAGCGGCACAAAATTTAATTCAAACTAGTCAAAAGTCTCCAACCGGTCCTCTTAGACATACGTGAAGCAGATTAATCCTGGAGTTATTGGTAAAAAAAAAGGTATTTGTGAGGTGACAGTGACCCTTTCTTCTGATCAGTTTGTCCTGAGGTAGGAAGACGTTCATAGTCCAGCAGAAACTGTGTCTCTCAAATGAGACACCATGTAGTTCATTATATACTCCTAAGTACACCAATAGGTAAAGATTGTTAAATATATACAGACCTGGCGACTGAGATCCAGAGCCGGCCCACAGTGCAGACCTGCGAGTCCTCCTCGTCCTCAAGGGTGTAGTTCTCTCCCAAGACCTTGACAGGCTGACCGGCCTGAATGGTCCCACTCAGCACCCGGCCGAACGCGTGGAACTGAACCCCATCCTCGGTGCTGTACATCTTGGTGGTGTGGCACATCAAAGGACCCTAAAGTGAGCAGAAAAAGATGGATATATGAGAGAGAGATTAAAGAAATGGGGCAGGGAAGTCTTACCACTTGAATGAGACATGTTCAAATAAAAAAAATAAAACATAAGAGGGTTTTGGCGTAAGGCAGTTAAACGTTTGTTGGAACTTGGAAAACTGGCTGGTATTGGCTTAAATTAAAATATTTAAAAGTCTGCACATCTCAAGGCAAACAGCCTGTTGGGTTGATATGTTACAGCAGCTGGAAGGACCTGAAACACATTGCAGCATTTGCGTATCTGCTTCTCCGCAGCAAACAAACAGGAGATTCCCGCCCTGCGTCCCTTATACTCACATCGGGGTCGCACTCCGTCATGGCCTCCGCGAGGTCCGAGTCCAGACCTCCATTGTATGTGTGCTCTATCTTGCTCCTAGCACCCTCCTGTGGTGAGGGGATGTGGTGCACGCACATGTCCACAAAGCCTGAGCAGAAGACATTCATGCTTGACTTAATAGCGATAAAACGGGTGGAGCAAATCATGACCATTTATCATAAACAAATAAAACAATCAGGAGCAATAATATTGAATAAAGCAGCAAGATGGATAAAATGCTTCAGAGTGTCTCTGCAGTATTGTTCATGTTACTTTAAAAGAAAAAAAATAATAAAATCTACAAATACAGCGAAGACCAACAAAAAAAACGAAAACAGGACAGACGATAAAAGATGAATCCTTACCAGTGAACTCTCCAAAGAAGCGGTTACAGACCAGCCTCAGTAAAGGTCTGATGTTCAGCTTCAGCTCTTCTTTGGTGAGGTGGATCCCCAGTTCATCCAGAACTCTGGGGAGAGACGTGTCCACGTCCCCGACCACCTGGATGCAAAGAGGATTTTAGGTGAGGATGACACACTTGGGGTCTGCAAAAGGCGAGTTGCTTTGTTACACAGAAACGGTTTAGCCGTGTCCAACCTGTGAGAGGATCTTGTAGAGAGGCTCCAGAACAAATTCCACAAAGCTGCGCTGAGAGTTGCTGCTGGGAGCTTTCTTTGTGAACTTGCGACTGGGGGGAGGGGGAGGATGGGAGATATAAGAATATCTTACAAGAACATTGCTTAGCATTAAATATTAGCATACAGTTCAAGGGAAATGTGTTCCTCACGTTTTGGGGTTGAAATAAATGTCTCCCCAAAGCCTCTTGGCAAACTCATTATAGTTGATGTCACCTAGAAACACAGAGGAGAGTAAGTCCATACCGAAGTAAGTCCACTAGGCGTGAGATAATAAATAAAGAACAGGCTCCGGTGAGGGTTTATGCTGAAGAGCCTTACCATAGGTGTCCGAGTAGATCTTTGCGAAGGACCCCAGGGTGAAACAGGTGCTGTACTGAGAGCTGGCGAAGCACACATTGCCTAGCAGAGGAGACACCACCAAGTTCTCATCCGTGGAGTACGTGCTGAGAAAGAAGAGAAATGACCATCAGCCGTCTGATTCTCCACCCCCCTAATCAGTATGCAGCACTACAGCTCATCAAGCCACTCATGCTCCCCAAACGCCGTGTCCGTTACGGGTTTTAAGTATTACCTGAGCAAACCGTTGACCTCATCCACAATGTGGCGGAGTTTATAATAAGCATCTGTAGGGGGCAATTTGAGCTCCCCAATGAGCCGGTCCACCTTGTTGATGCAGATGGTGATGGCCATTCGCTCCTGAACCGCGTGTTTGATCAGGCGCTCTGTGTTCAGCATCACCTGTGCAGAGATACAAAAGGGGCTAAATGGCACGTTTCAAGTCCAGCTCATGACACAATGCAGAGTCAAAACACTGCAGACCACCGATTGGTTGCAGAGAACCAGCCGCAATGCGGCACAAACTCACTGTTAATTAAATAGCTACTCTGGCATCAACAGCCATTTGCTATTCACCTCGCCCATGACTATAAAGAACGACAAAGGTACGCTGTAGACACGACACGGTACAGCTGACAAGTGTGCAGCTGCTGCAGAGTCTCCCAGCTACACTGCAGGAGTTCTATATGGAGGAAAAGCGTGCAGTGACTCACTCCTTCTGCTGCATCTATGAAGAGGACGATGCCGTCCGAGAGCCGGATACTAGAAGTGACCTCGTCAGAGAAGTTCACGTGGCCTTAAGAGGGAGACACAAGGTTTGACATCACTCCCTGCTGGGATGCACCAAAACAAACCAGGGAACACACGTTCAGTAGCTCCCCCCACCTCCAGCCGCGCACCCTACCTGGTGTATCCATGATGTTGAAAAGGTAGGACTTTCCTCTGGAGTCTGGCAGGACCATTGTGACGGGGGCGCTCTTGATACCCACACCCCTCTGCGGAAAGAGCACAACGTAGAAATAATCTTTAGGGGGGAGGGGAGGGTGTAATTCTATCCCTGTAGTGCTTATTCAATAAGGATAAAGGCCGTTGGGGATCATATTTCCATGTTTGCAATTCATTGACATTCTAATGTGCCGTAACGCTCACCTCCTGTTCAGTGAAGAGGATGTCGGTGTATCGCAGCTGAAAGAGTCAAACGTCATGTTAGTTACTCTGTAATATACAATAAGAAAAATGTGTTCATCATTCCAGTCGACGCTCACATCCACGTCGTCCCTCTTCCTGATTTCTGGGTGCGTCTGTTCAATCAGGCAGTCCACAAAACAGGTCTAAACAGAATAAACAAATTCATTAGATCCCCATGAGTCAGTTATTAGCATATATCCAAAATATTCATATCCTCATACATTTTTCATCTTAAGAACACATGTCCTCTTTGGCAAAATGCCACAGAATACCCAATTATTGTGCAGCGCTGGCAGGTTGCCATGCCAACAAAAAATCCAAGCAGACCAAAAAGCATCATTTTTGATGCCAGAAGTCATTCTAAATATCACTGCAGTATCAGATATATGATCTGCCTGTTATCTGGACTGATAGTCAACAACAGCGATAATGTTGAATGCTTTCCGTCTACGAACAAGCTCTGCAGTGAACGACAGACAGATAGAGTTGATGGACTGGAGACCAGAGAATATTCACAACATCCAAGATGACGGGTGTTGTCCCCACATTGGTGAGTTACTATGGGGTCTTATGTGGGCACTGCAGCGCACTGTTGAAAGCCGCACACTTGTAAATGCTACCAGAACAATTGGTTAAAGTAATAACAGAGGGCCATTTGACATGTGTGCCCCAACAAATGGCATAAAGCTAAAACACCAATTTATAAATTTAGCCTTAATGAAAAGTGGTTATACATTTTGAGAACAGATCCCCCCCCCCCCAACCAGCTCATCCACATGGCAAAAGCACTAAACCCACAGTCAGGGAAAAACTGCCCTTGCTAAAAGCGCAGAGATATGGCGGGTACCAACCTTGCCGTGGTGAAGATGTCCACACAGGGTGACGTTACGGATTAGCTCAGGACCGTCCATCAGATCTGCAAGGAATCTACCAAGAGAAGACAGACACAAGTGCTTGAGAGACAAACAGCAAACGCATGTATTTGCAGGATATGTAAATATGAAACACACAACAGTGAGTTGAGTCAATAATTGTCTACATGTACATTTGCATCTTCAGGCATAATTGGCAGAAATCATGTGCACATTGATGACTTGGTGACTTACTCCATATCATAGACGGTGGCAGGTAACTCCTGCTCCATCAGCGTGAACCGCTTGTGCTTCACAGGCTTGATGATGGGCTCTGGAGTGAAGAGAAAACACTCATATTTGTGCAGAACGTAATAGAACTTATCATGTGTGGACAATTTAACCAAACACTATGCGCTTGATTGTACATCTGCTTGTACAGATTATCTAACCTGTGAGAGGTTGCGTGTCTTCCTCCTGGACAATGGTTTCCACTTCGGGGCCATAAACCTCCTCTGCTGTAGGATAGTACTTCTTGTCCTCGTGCAGAACCACCTCCATACCAGGGACATCCTCATCGGCATCAGCAGGTTCATCTTCATCATCGTCGTCAGCCTGCACAGAGAAATTACCATGAAATGTGGTCACATATTGAAAATTAGGGGGCTAACGGCTCAAAGAAATGATTACCTCGTCAACATCTCGGTCCTCTGCATCCAGATCATCCTCATCGTCATCAGAGTCCAGCTCTGGACCGATGTAGTTTCCAAACTCGTCATACAGATCAGCCTCCATCTTGTAGAGGACTGAAAGAGGAGACACGGGTCGAATGATGTTATACGGTTTCTCTGAATTGGTAAAGACAATACGACGTGGAGGCGATACAGAATACAACCAGAATTAAGTCACGTTATATCCGCTTTGTCAATGCCTCATTGGACATTATGTCAGGTCTGTGTTGCTCTCTGATTCAATACGCACCGAAAACATGTTGAAGTCTAAATAGTAATAAAAATGCACTTGCGTTGTGAAGTTGTGCTTGTTTTACAGTCGGGGATGAATTCGTAACCAGCTCGCTTAATAAGGTTTCCTTGAGTTAACATCAAAGCTAATGCTAACTTGTATAGCACAACATGCATCGCAGGGACTATTTATCAAGCATTCAGATGGTTTCCGTTGGCAAAACGAATAATACAATTTTAATTTAATGAGAAGTCTTCAATGATTAACGTTAACAGATGAAAATGTTCTTTGTGTTTGCAATGTTAGCAGCGACCCAAAACCGAGCATGCTAACATGCTACCATGCTAACAGAAATGAATGACTTGGAGAGGACGTTGCAGCTACGTTGCTGTTTAGCAATTTAGCTTAACGGAGCTTACAGCTTAGTTTTCGCAACTATAACCCGTTGCCTGAAAATAACAACTCACCTGTATTCCGTGATAGCGCGGTGAGGTAAGACAATAATCGAAACAAGGTCAGTTGGGTAAGTATTCAGAAGATAAATAATTTCACAAAAAGCGCCATGCGCACGAAATATTACGTCCGGCTTTCTTCTTCTGAGGACTCGGGGGCGCTTTCGAGCTCACTATCGCCCCCAACGGTGGAGTTGGGTACTTAGCAGCAAAGAAAATTACATCTACGTTTCAAATACCTGCTACTTTTGCTTATTTACTCTCACTTAAACACCCAGAATTGACCATACACATGCATGACCCCAGTGCACGTCAGCATCTTTCAAATGAAACAATGATTATGATGCACTGTCCACCTTGATGTTCGTGTATTAGGAGACGGTTCCCGTGGGTGACATGCGTGCATTTAGTGCCATCCAGCGGTCATGTAGGACTACAGCTCTGATTATTTTGAACGTTTTGTACGTGTAGACTGTGTCTCGCTGCTGAAACTAAATGAATCTATACGCCGTGATATAATATAAATAATTATGGCATTAATTAGATCAAGGGAAAAAGCAGGATTATTGTAGGTAGACCTGAATTCTTTCACACTTCAATGTAAATGAATAGATGGGCCTGTAGTTTTGTTCTGCAAAAGCTGGAGGGCAGTGAATAGCCATTAACTGTAATGCAGTTATGTCATCCTTCAATTTCAGTGTGTCATCTAATCAACGTGTCTATCATTTGGTGGCTTGTGTGTTTTTGTAAAACGAACGTGTCTACGCAGAAGAACCCGGATTAAACTATATGATGGTTTGCAATGGGCCTTAACAACTTAAACAATTTAAAAATTATTCAATTCAATATTCAAGTCAATTATTGGTAATTTACTTCTTCTTAGAAACTATACTTTTTAGACAACTGTTTAGAATACTAAAGTTTCGCATTGGAATTAATGGAAAATCCAGTGTGTCAGAGTGGGTGACGTTTCATCATCTACTCTAAGAGCTAACGTGGGAGTACCCCAGGGTTCTATTTTGGGACCTTTATTATTCAGTCTATACATAAATGATTTGCCCGGTGTCTGTGATGGGTGTGATATTGAAATGTATGGTGACGATTTGTTCTGCCTGACGCATGCAGCGGCCTGTAATGGCTGCTCTACACTTTTCTTTTGTTATGTATTGGTTTTGTGTATAGATTTTGTCCGTTTGTCTGTGAATTTAAATTACATTTCCTTTTGAATTTTTTTTTATTTCAGGCTGCCTTAAAAACATCTGGCCAGGGACAGCAGATGGAAATTAGCCTGTCTGGCTAACTCTGGCTCACTTACAGTACAACTGTTGATCAGTGTGCATTGTCCCTACAAAATAAATGAATAAATAAATATGTTTTAAAACTTGGATGTAATCACTTGGGACCTCCGTTAATTTGAACAGAGTTTATAGTGGTGTGCATTATTGGCAGACCAATCACTACATGTTCCAAATAGAAAAGTGAGGAAAAACAATTTGGCCAAGTGATATTCAAATATAAAATACGGCATTGCTAAGATACAAGTAACCAATCAGGGGGAATTCATTATTCCACTTGGATGTTGATGAGGTTTGATAATAAATGCAAACAGAGAAAGGGTTTCAGTTGATGGCTTTATTCCTGCTGGTGATAATATGTTGATCAGTAGGCCTGGCCTACAGAGTCAATACATAGATACTTTAGACTGACAAACACATTAAACAAACACACCCTCAACATTGTCATCCATTTCTAAATACAAGTTTTCTGTGGGAGGCAAATTAATAAAAATATTGTTTGGTCATCTTGGAATGCCCTTGATACACTTCATAAAATGTATTGAGGCTATAATTTTATATTTCAGCAAGTGCCGATAAATAAACACAGTTTCTTGGTTGGCATTAACATCTTTAAAATATTGTCACAACAGTACAACCAGAATAACATTTAAAAGCAGTTTATTTATTCTATAAATAGGTCAACCCAGAAACGTTAAAGTTATAGATCACCGTTACTTCTAAATCTTTATAACAGAGCAATGATAAGACATTGATTTCCTTTCTTTAGGCGATGATTGCAGGTCTCCATAATGAATTACCTGCTGCTTCTCTCCTAAGATTGACCTCCGGAGCCAAAAGTGAGGCTGGACTAAGGCACGTGTAAACTGGATGGTCGACACACTTTATTTATAACACAAATGGTTTAATTGCCTAATACTTAGTTGGACTATTTGACCTGAGAATTTGACCAAATGTGTCAACTGGCCCCTTAATAAGATTCTCCTTTCTCCCCTCTCTGTCTCTGACCCTCTACTCCGCCACCATCTTCCTCAGCCTCTGCACCACGTCCTCCCCGCTGCTCCACGGCACCGTGACAGCCTTGAACTCCCCTGGCACGGCCTCGTGGGTCTCCGTGATCAGCCGGTGCATGGGGAAGTCCCGCCGCGGGAAAGCCACGTCGCGGGGCCCGAGGGCCGTGGCTGGGCAGAAGTCGTTGGCTCCGTCCCCCACGTAGAAGACGCGTTGGTAAGGGCGGCCCCGCTCCTGCATCCTGCGGGCCACGTAGTCCCTGACGATCACCTGCTTGCACATGTTGCTCGGGCACCGCACGCAGTCGTGGGAGTGAAAGGGCCGCAGCACCAGTCGGCCGTCCCTGTTGAAGGTGGCGGGGTTGCTGAAGATCCGGTGGAAGAGTTGCCGGGCCCCGGCGCGCCGCAGCCAGGCCTCGATGAAGAAGGTGTTGGCGTCGGACAGCAGCACCACCTCGAAGTCCTGCGGTGGCCGAGTGCGGAGGAACTGGAAGAGGGTGAGCATGCCGGGGGTGGCCGGGATCTTCTCCATGGAGCCGCGGATGTCGCTCTCGGTGACGCCCTGCTCCGCCAGGTAGGCCAGCACGCGCTGCATGTACTCGTTGTAGCGGCCCGGTTGGTACGTGTCCTTCAGCCAGGCCGGAAGGTGCTGACCCGGGGCGGTCTGCACCACGATGTCGTCGCTGGTTTCATCCACGATGGTCTCATCGAAGTCAAAGAAGACGAGGAAGCGCTTGTCGGAGGGGATGTTGGTCGAGTTGGAGGCCATGATCGCTGCGCGTCTGGACCCGGCGGTCTCCCCCTCGCCTGGGGGATGGGGTGGGACATAACAGCAGGTGAATATTGAATCCCCCATGATTGACCAGGCCACACCTCTGGCTGTTACAGGCAATAAATCTCCACTCTCCACGCTCTGCGCCCACTCTCCGGCATCCCACGCAAGACCACCAAAAGTAAGGTGGAGGCGGCCGAGGGTGGTTTCTGGGAAACATCAATGCGTAAAGAGGCGAAGGATGGGGGAGGGGGGGTTGGGGTGGAAGCAAAAAAGATTACAATTTAGATTTAATTTATTTAATATGAGGTAGACACAAAAATTGTGAATATTATATTATATTCAGCTATAGCTGGATGAGAGCAAAGCAGCCAGTCAAACCAGAAGAGGGAGCGTTCATTTCTACATACGGTAAAGGTGGTGCCCAACCTGCTCACCCAGAAGCTAAAATATAGGAAATTCGTGCTGGGCTTCATGCAAAATCCTACAAGCAAGCGAGCTTATGAACTGTACAATCGATGAACAAGGCAGCGGCGTGTGGTCGCATTGTGCCTTCCTACCTTCAGATCGAAGCAGTGGATGTCAGATGAATGTGTGCGGCTCGCTTGCCTGCATTGGGGAAGGACACAGTGGATGCTGAATGACCTCAAACAGTGCGGGGAAAACAATAAGGTATCACAGCGAATGATGTACGAGTGTGAGGTATTATATCGCCCACGTGCAGCGATTTAACGAGGTTCTACCTCTGTGATGTCCAGCAGAAACATGCACACAGTACAAGTCCAGTTTGCGTCAACGGAGGAAAAGTCTAATTTGTCTTATTTTTGTGCATATTTTACACACTCATTATAAAAGACGGATTCAAAACGATCTCGTCAGCTCGCCAATCGAATCTGCGGACTTAAAAAAAACACCAATAACAGCTAAAACGCTAGAATGCATCAGATCAAACTTCAACTCAAATCCCATTACTTTGAAAAAATACATTTAAAGAAAAAGCATTACTGTGTGCTGCTGGCGCTGGTTCCGATCCCCCGGTGTCGGTCCCGTCCGATCCGGTCCCGCAGACAGTAGCCGGCCGGCCGGCGGCACGCGCGCTTATAAGTGACGGTCCAAAACCACGAAAGCCGCTGTGACGGGACCGCGCCTCCAAGTCCGCCCATGTAATAGCAGCCTGCTCAGCGCGTGCACGGTCCTTCCAAAGGGAGGGGGGGGGGGGGGAAACAACCAAATGCAAATGCTTTTCTCAAATAGCCTCACTGCTCTAACGACAGACTACAAACTCTTATACAAAGACCCGCAATTTACAGCTGGAGGGGTAAAGAAAGGACCGAGGGAAACTGATCCTTTTCTCAACTTGTAAGCTTGATTCGACCCAGTGGGGGAAAAAAAAAAAAACACTGCATGAGAACTCCAGGGAGAGACAGGAACATCATCTCAAGGGTTCAGCAGGCCTGACGCTCAGCTGGGGGGGTTTGGTGGGCAGTTCGATGCCTGGCTGCTGCCCGTCCTGTGCCGTAAAGCCCTTGAGCAAGACACAGAACCTCAAACTGCTCCCCCGGCGCTTCGAAGCAGCACAGTGCTTCTACTGAGCCAAGCAGCTTATGTTTACAACAGTTTAAGACTCAAAAACCTTCAACAGGGGAATGGAGCTGCTTGACCTCTGACCTCTATTTGAATCGAGAGTCTGATTGGAGTAAGCATATCCAACGTAATACCTTGGTTTATTTAAAATGTGGAGCAGCAAAGTGTCTCTTTAATAATCGCAGAGAAACATTATTATTGCGGCGTGGGAGTTGGCATTTTGCTGGTCGACCAACAGCCTATAGGAACTTCTTGAAAGCACACGTGAAGGCCTCTTCTCCTTATCTGCCTGCCGACAGACACGGCCCCCTGCCTCCCCTACACCACAGGGCGTAATGACTAACAGCTGGGGGTTGAGGGGGGGGGATCTGACTATTTTTTAACCCAAATGGGAAGAGAGATGTACAGACGGTGTGTTATTATCTCCTCTGCTGGTGAAGCGAGCCGCGGTACCCGAGCGCCCACGCACCATCAGTGAGTCACTTACACTCCTCTCCATCCATCGGGCCCGCTCAGCCGTCTCACTGGACTGCGTGACTCATTGGTGCGCCACTTTAAAAAATCCCCCCACAGTGATGGGGGGCACACAGGGTTTTGAGTGACAGCGGCAACAGTTGAAAGTCTTGACGTGTCCATAGAGGAGGCGAATTCGGATGTCCAGGAAAGAAAATACTCAAAAATACTGTTGTCACTCAGATATTAATTTGGCATTTAGTTTTAATGCCAGTTTGTCTGAATGCAACTGCTCACCTAAACACGCACGCTGAGGGCATTTAGAAGAAAAGTAACATACAACACAAGTTTTTTCTTAACTGGAGAATATCTGCATGGTCACTGACGTTCAAGGTCACGGGCCAGAGAAGCCAATGATTTTGAACATGGTGGGGGGGGGGGGCACCATGTTGACCCCCGCGCCCCAAACAAAACAAGAATTGGTCACAAAAAAAGAAAAGAAAGAGGACCTATAATGCTCCTGCACAAATGAAACGCTTTGAAAAGCGAAGTCAGCAGCTGACCCCTCAGTGTGATGCGTAGCCAGCAGACGCTGTTTGGTTACAGGCATTATGCCAAGAACCCAGTGACCCCAAAAGAGCCAAATAACTGCTCAAGCAAATTAAGACAATTGCAACGGTCAGCTGGAATTCCGGCTTTTCAGCGAAGCTCGTTGTTGAGCTCGGTGTCAGGGAGCACGTTGGGCACAATTCTTACTTTTCTACATTTTCACAGGCAACTGACAGGAATTGAAGATGAAAAAAAGAGACGGAGATGTGTGATAATCATGGCTACTTGTTTTTACTTCTCAAAGTTTAGCAGTCAGTTTAATGTACATTATCAAAAAAGGCCCAACTTTTCACTCCACATTCTCCAGATAACATACAAAAAAGGACAAACCGGGACATTGTAAAGCTGCACATGTTGTACCAGATACAATAATAAAATACGCAATGCTACATTAAGTGGTTAAAAATACAAAGGGGAAAAAGTATATTTGATTTTTTTTTAAAACATCTTTAAAGAATATACATGTTATTTTTTCATTAACTAGCCAAGAATTTTAGTAGAAAGTGCATTCTAGGAAACAAAGAAACGAGGAGGAGAATCATTTGCCAAACTAAAAGACAAAACCGGACAGGTCGGAGACAAACACGCAGCGAGCTCGAGCTAGAGGGAAGTCACCGAAGCAGGAGGAATGTCGCTTTCACTCTGACGGGAGGTCAACAAGGAGCAAAAGGGTGTTTCTTTAAAAAGAGAAAGAAAACATGAATAGGAAATTAGAAGTATGCGCGTACTAAAATGACATGTCCTTTGTTCGCTGTGGTCCCTTCCACACTACCCGCCTCCACCCGGGATTCTCCTCCTTTCCCAACAACATCCGCTCAAAATAAATCACCTCCACCCGTTCTCGTGCAGCCACATCTGCACTCTGTTCCACGATGCATCGTCAGTCCCTCCCTTCCCTGTGCTTCACCCACGCAGCAGTAAAGTGCAGAGAATACACACACATACACACACAAAAAAAGGCTTAAAAAAATAAATAAAAAAAAACAGCAAGCCAAAGATCCATACTGCGAAAAACGCTGAAGCCCAGCGCTGAACCCGAGGGCACCGCATAAGCAAATAAAGTATTAAGACCCTTAGAAATGGCAGGATAATTGCAGGTCTCAAACCGAGAAAAAAAGGGTTTTATCCTAAACTACCGATGCTGAATACCGTTAGACTGTAAGAAAGAGGATCATTTTTCCATTTACTGCTATTCTCCATCTTCGGTATCCCCAAATACACACACATGGTGGGGCACGTTGTGTAAAAGCAGCTTTTGGTAGAAAAGCACTGGGACAACCACACACACACACACACACACACACACACAAGCAGAGAAAATGCACACACACGCAAACGCACACACGGTATCTGTCGGACTGGGTGAAGGGCTACCAACCACGCAACTCATGACCAATACTTGCCAACCCTTTATGCTTACTTTAAACAAATAACATTCACACCATCGGCTATTACATCAATGATGTATGACGTCTGCTTACCTTTACAAGAATTCCAAATATTAGAAGTTGTACGACCACTGCCTTTTATCCTGACATTTCCTATCATGTGCTAACAACAGTCTATCTACATTAGCTTAAAACGGCACAAATGATCAGAGAATATAAAAAACAAAACAAAACGAAAACATAAACGAGTCATCCGCCATTATTCTGCGAAGGTAACATTCAACAGGGGTTGACACGCGTTTGTGAAAAAGCAAACCGTTACATTACAACAACTCCCCACACCGGACTGTGGAATATAGGCTGAGAGGAATATGCATAATTGCCTGTTAAGAACGGTGATGAAAGAGGTCCCAGGTGTGTGTATATACTGTGTGTGTGTGTCAAATGACCTTTCACATGGTAACCCGTATCATTTCGACAGCAGCGAAGGGGTAGAAGTGGGGTAAATCCTGATGGGGCCACGGGTCTGGCCCCTCACAGTGGCAGTATTTGACAGTCATCCGTTATCTAAAAGCATGGGTTGACCAACAGCTCTGAGGTTGCACTGAACACAGCGAGGGGAGTCTTTGTCTTTTGTCAGCGTGTGCTTGGGGGACGCGCGCAGTCAGACCTCGCGTCGCTTTCGAAAACGCACGACATCGTCGCTTTGTCATATATTGGGCGTCAGGAAATCAAAATGGAAAAAAGCATGATTAAGAAACACTGTACGCACCGGAATGGAAAGCACCGTCTATCCGTTATGTGAATCTCGGACCTTGTTTTGAGTCAACTAACCATTTACAAAGCGTGCGTCCCAACCCCCCCCCACCAACACAAATCGCCCCCTTATGACTTTAGCCCATTGCACTGCTGCGGTTTCCCCTCTAGTCCAAGGTCGAGGCGTTCCGTCAAAGGTCCAGGCAGAACCCGATCCAACATTCATCAAATATTGCTGTGGGGGCGAGCCCCTACCGGTCAATGAGTAGGACAGCTTGAGCATCGCCGTGGGCAGGAAGTGCACGGAAACTCCTGGTCAACTCGAGGAGAATCGCCGAATGGTGGCGATCCTGGACGAGCCCACGCCGCCCCCCCATCAGCAAGGAGACACTTTGCACCCACCAACGTACACATAGAGAACTCGTTTTCCTCAGAAAACATTGACCAGAAGTCTTTTTACTGAGTGTGTGTGTCTGCTTGTCACACACAGGTGTGTGTACGTGTATCTTTACTTATTTTCGGATCACTGCAACCGAGAGACTGAGGCCGGACGACGAGGAGAGGACGACCAAAGGCGCGGTTTGGTGGGGGGCCCGCACAGCTGGAGCCCAGTTCAGTGGTGCTGGGGGGCCCCGGGGCCCTTGTCGGGCGGAGCCATGTGGTGCATGTAGCTGGCGTCTTCATGCCCACAGTGGTTTAAGGGCTCGCTCTTGAACAGGGCCGGGGGTGGGGGGATTTGGGAGACCGGGGGCACCGCCAGGTGGTGGTGGGGGTGTTGCGGCGCGTTTGACAGGTGCTGCTGGGTCGTCGGCGGGTGGGGGTGATGGTGGGAGGGGTTTGAGTGGAGGTGCACGTGGGAGAACGCGTGTCCCGCGGGGCCTCGCGGAGGCAATTGCCCTCCTGTCGGGTTGAGGTCCACGTGCGCCGAGGGGGCGGCGGCGGCGGGACTGGGACCGGAGATGGAGGAAGTGGAGGGGGAGGAGGTGGAGAAGGTGTTGGCGAAGACGCGCACAGGCATGGGCGGGCCGCTGGTCTGCGGGACCACGGGGCTGGTGACCCGGAAGCACTTCTCCTTGTGCGCTTTGAGCATGTTGGAGAAGCGGAAGCGCTGGCCGCACACGTCGCAGGGGTAAGGCTTCTCCCCCGTGTGGGTGCGCCGGTGGCGCTTCATGTTGGGCCGGCTGGTGAAGCTCTTCCCGCAGATCTCACAGATGAAAGGCTTCTCTCCTGCGGAGATTCAGAAAGCATTAGGAGGGAACGTGAAGCAGACGGTAATAGTCGACCAAAAGGAGGCGCACGGTCGTCAAATGAGATGGTTAGAAGATCATTTATCAACAGATTAAATCCTCCCTTCCAAAAAAAAGAAGCTTATTTTTCCATTTCACCATTTCTCCACAAACAGCGACAGTTCTTTCAAAAATGCGAATACGTCGGCAGCTTGAATTGAGGGTTCTTCCCCATCAACCCAGAAGGAAGCCATCCCGATTCACACGTTGCGCAGAGATGCTAAAAATGAACTGGTTGGAACGCTGCTCTCATTACCCTCCCTCCACGGGAGCCACTGAATGTGCCTGCTACCACCCACACAGCCATTATGCACCAAGAGCCTCCACACCAACGGAATATCAAAAGGTGACAGCTAACGTGCTCGTTCTCTGCCACTGTTACAACACACTCTCTGTCGTGAAAAATCTGCGCTCGGTGGAGCAAACTCTGGGAGTCTGTGTTTAGCTGCCTATTACAGGCCACGGCTGGGTGTGTCTCCTCCTGCACAGGCTTAAATTGGTTGCTAGCGGCGAGCAGAAGAGAGGGCAGTGTAATTACACTTCACAAATAGAACTGGGAGGATCGACGGCGAGCCGAGAAACTGTGGAACAAGAACAGGTTCAGTTCGGTCTGAGAAACAGCAACACGGCGCGGAGGGAAAACAGCGTGTGTGTGCGTGTGTAGTCATTACAAGACCAGATATATATGCAAGGCCCCGCTTTGATGTAGAACACCCCTCTCATTACAAAGCTGGGCGAAGTCTCTCCGCTCTCGCCACTATGTTTGTCTTGGAAACGTCCCACGCATTCTTCGTTCTTGTAGCGCGTCCAAGAACCGTGTTGTCATCTCAAAGCATTCAGAACCTCAGGTGTCAAAGCACTAAAAACAACACCAGGCAACAAAAAAAATGCAATGCATTTTTATATTATTTTAAGTTGGATGTGATTGAAAAACCACATTTTTGCAGAGACTTTGTCCCAAGTAATTTACTGCGGCACAACTGTGATATCGGAATACTTTTGTTGAGAGAAGGGGAGGACGGGTGTCCGCCTCCGTCGCGTTGAGGCTCGGCTGAGTGCTTTCTGGTTACGTTTCCATTTCAGTCTGTGGAGAATTCAAACACTACAGAATATTTTCCCTGAACCCGTTCTCAAGTTATCTCACTTTATTTTAAAGACTGGAATATTTGGCTACAAAACCGTGAGCGTTTATAACGGGTCTGCCTGTGTGTACTTTGACAGCTGGGCCGTGAGACCACCAGAGCCGCCGGCCTGCCAACTCACATCTGTTCCACAGGAACGTTTGTACATGCACAAAAAGCTCAGGACCCAAAACTTGCTTTAAGAACTACAATTACGCCCCGCGGACACGCGGTCACATTCGGTCTGAGATCATGCGTGTGCACGCCGGACATTTCTCACCTGTGTGTGTTTTCATGTGCTCATCAAAATACTGTTTCATGTTGAAGTCTTTGCCACACCACTGGCACATGAACTGCTTGTGTCCGATGTGAATGCTCATGTGGGAGCGCAGCTGATACTTGTATTGGAACCGCTCGTCACAGTTCTACAGCGGAAACAACAAGAGGCGTTCAGGAGACACACACACTCACGCAAATACACGTTCACAATAAAAAGACTTTTCTGCAGTTTCTTGTAAGCAGGTTTTACCCTTTAGTGTTATCTTTGGCCAGTTTAAAACCATCATGTATAATTGACTTTGAATTATATTTGGTGAGTATTAAAATTGATAGTCATGTGATCACTTTTTACATGGACACAAGGAACCAGGTTTTTAGGTATTTCGAAGATAATTTTAGTCATAAATTATTTTCCATACGCAGAGACCATGCGGGATAAATGTTAACAAGGCCAAGAAATATATACAATAATATACAAGATATCTCTGAATGGCTAATAAAGGGAGCAGATCTTTACGTTATATAGTCACATGCCAACAATAACCAGCTTATTTGGGTGCATGTAACCACGCTGCATATTTGCACTATGAGGCTTCCTTGGTCAGGTCTTTTCCAAGGTATAATATTCATAACCTGAACGGCACCACCCAGCTAAATAAATATCTGTGGAAAAAAAAGCATAATTTCCATTTGGCATAACCGACTTGTATGACAGGAGAACGACCCATACATCAAATAACTCCTTCAAAAGCATGCGAGGACATTAAAGTGTAGGATGACTTAAAACATTTAATTAGAGCAGCTCCACCCATAAACATATGTTGCCTGTGTGGTTGGACATTAAAAGGCCTCGGGTGGGCGTAAACCATCCCATCTGTCAACTTCCTCTGAATTGAGTGAGAACAGTGATAATATAATAAACTCTTAACAGAATAAACTCACACTAACTCAGTGATAACAGAATAAAACTCATACTCAACTTCACTGAGCAAAAATCCGCTTATAATGACCCACAAAAGGCCTCCAGATGACATGTTGGTTAAATCTCACACATGACATATTTTAGGCTCTGGTTAATTAGTGATCTCTATGCAGTTTGCTATGTATTTTGGGAAGTCACGGACCACACGGCACCGCTGCCTGATCGGCCTTGAGGCTCCTTTGAGAGGCCCGCGAGGCCAATTCATCAAAACCTACAGAGCACTCAATCAGCCAACCAGCAAGAAACCAGCCGAACACGCGTTTGGATAAAAAAAGTGACGGGTGACAAACATATGCACATACGTGATTATCTTATCGGTTTATGTCGTTTTCATTTTGCATCTTACATCGCATCAATCATCAAGACCGATTCCTCTATGTGTAACGTGTGTAACACGTGTGGCTCGTGACGAGAGAAAACGGCCCCATTCGGCTCTTCAATTGATCTTTGATACCTGCAGTCACTGATAACGAATCATGGACAGACTGTATTTAACCTGAAAAAAGGTCTCGTCAGGGAGATTATGAACCATTGTGACGCAGCGTTTTCTTATCAGTGCAGTTAATGATTCATTTGTCTTTTGATACTGTCCTGTATTTGATCAGAACAGGGCTTGTGCGTCTCACCTCACAACGGAAGGGTTTCTCTCCCGAATGCTGGAGCGAGTGAACTTTTAAAGACATGCTGCGTTTAAACGACTTCCCACATGTCTCGCAGGTAAACGGCATGTCCTTTGTGTGAGCTGGGGAGAGACAGGGGCGAAAGGGAGAGCGAGAGGAAGGGACAGAGGACAGCAATATTGAGATTGCACACACCTGATCAGACGATTAAACCAAGATTCATTAAAGACGAAGTCGCGTGTCAATAAAAGTGATGCTGCACAACAAGGAGTGCGGAAAAAAGACCCCCACTTACCAACCATGTGCTTGCGGACATGAGCCATAGTGTAGAACTTCTTCTCACAGATCTCACAAGAAAACTTCTTTTCTGCATAGCCGTGCACAATCTTTATGTGCTCGTGCAGTGACCACAGCTTCTTAAAAGACTTGTTGCAGGAGACACACTAAAAAGACACATGGACATAGAAAAAAAACATTAAGGTTGTTGCTGATAAATATCATGAGAACACAAAACATGACAGACAGCGAACGGTTCTCATTTGCCAAACGGTTCCCTTGTGCTCTAGCGCCGTCTGCTGGGGAAGATCATGAGTCTACTTTCCTTGATTCCCTTTGGAGATGCGCAGATTATTAACTGACAAACATGACGATGATACGCCGTTGAAGAAGGGCAAAATAAACAAAACAGGGAAATATTTAATGCTAATTTGGCTTGCTGGTGTGATTCCAGGTTAAAAGTCACTGGAAGTTAAAATACATGTTTTATGGAAACAATTCAACATGGATGTAAAACAGACTAAGAGACACTTTTTCTACTTTTTCTTTTCTTTTTTTCTATGGAGAATCAGATTCCAAAGGAAGGCGCATTATTAGAAAATAATTGAGTGGAAGCGTATTTAATTTCTTTTAAATGCATATTTAATAGAGGCACTTCTGCCAGCAATTAGATAGATGCCCGTTTTGCTTTTTTTAAATCAACTTTGCACATTTGCCTTTGTGCAAGTGCACCATTTCTTAGCCGGATCTCATTTTGGACTGACTTTGAAAATAAAGAGAGTTATTATAGGCTCTGTGTTCGGCCTTTGTCTATTTGGAAAATAAATCCTGTTATAATGGAGCCTCCTCTCGCAGACGGCAGGAGAAGCCTCCTCGCGGCATCAAACCCACGAGCGAAGGATTCGTTTCTGTCCGTCCTGTCAAAGAGACTCTCACTCTGTTCTATTATCAGTCACATTCCTTCCGGCAAAGCGCTCTTGTGAGCCTCTCTTTCCTGGAGGTGTGATAGCAGCCTCATTTGTATCCTTATCAGACAGAACATCAGCAGCATATTGTGTTAATGGAACATTAGGAAGCCACTTACGGTTCCAACAGATTTATTTGTCCAGCATTTGGGTTGTTGCATAAAACCCACCGAAGCTCGGTATGAAACGTTGAGTGGCTGTTTCCATACAGCATTTGAATGTATGTGTTAAGCGAATATTTAATAGATCAGATCCAGCCAACATTACTGGAACCAAGCTTTGCATATAGATGCAGTCACTTGCATCATCATTATTAATTCACATTTTGTTTGTATGTTTTATTGATTTCCTTTTTCTTCAATCCAAGGTTATTAGATGCTTACTAGAACAAGGCTTTATTTTACAATAAAGGGTCTTCATCACGGACCTGATGCCCAGCTTCAAGTTCTTAATACAGGGCTGGTTTATTTTCCCAACGAATTGGTGTGAAACAAGTTTTTAAACTGTACTGAACAAAGTTGAACATTGGATTCCACACTCGTACACAACTCTTTTTATGTGTACTTCACACACCCGACTATGGTCACGGAAACCCACACACCATAAACAAACAAGTTGGACCAGCTATTCGATCCATGGATTCGACTTTGGGATCAACTAGTGAGATTGTCCGATCAGAGGCCGGATCAGGAGTACAGAGATATTCCAATGTGCCCTTTTTCATGGCCCTGGCTTGGGACCACGTCAACAATTTGTCATTCATTTTCCTGCGAGGATTTGGAACATCCAAGAGATAAATGGTGTGTTGATATGTCGGGTCAACAGTGATAAACTATATTGTAGAAATGTGTCCACCACCGCTGTATTTATACACCTTATGTGTACTACGTGATCTATTAATCGGTCTATATTGACGGGAGTGAATATTACTAGTACATTTACTGAGTTACTAGTAAATGTCAATGCTACATTAAGCTTCACCGGTTGGTTTCAAAGGATTTGTCTGAGCAGACAAAGGTGAAAAGACTCTTCACAAACTAAACAAAGATGTGAAAATAGTTAAACAAACAAGGGGCTAAATTTGGATATTCAAAGAACCGCTTTAGGTAGTTCCTTAGGTATCAATGTGTTGAATCTCCGTTTCAGTTCTAGAGAACTTATACCAAATTGAACCCACTGATCCTATCAACAAGCAATGTTTATACAAAAATAAATGTTTAACTCATGTTAGCAGTTTGAGAGGGTCACCAGGCTACTAGAATTAGCTTCTGTTTTCAGCGTAAAATATCACAAATAATTAACTGAAAACAAAGCATTAATGACAATAATAAGCAGATAATTGGACTACAGACATTATCAAAGGACACGTCCAACCCCAGAAGTGCACCTCTTCAAACAGTGACCCCGCTCAGGGGATGTGGGACGGGGGTCGCTCTGCTTTACCTGGATGTTCTTCTCGCAGTCGGTCTGTTGGTGTAAGGCCAGCTCACTTTCCAGGACAAACTTTTTGCCGCACTTGTCGCAGATCTGCATCCGCCTGTGGGTGACATTCATGTGCTTCTCCAGGTACCAGCGCGTGTTGAACACCCGGGGGCACTTTTCACACGTCAGCATCTCCTTCTCCTCCGCCTCCGCCTTCCCCCCCGTCGCCGTGGAGCCGGCGGAGGACGGGGCCGACCGGGCCGACCGGCGTTTGCGCTTTGCAGGCTCCATGCGCTTCCGCCGGCCCCTGGTGGTCATTCCGGCGGCGGCTTTGCTCAGCGCTGTCCGCAGGCTCTTTCTCAGCGGCTGGCTGGGCGCCGCCGTGCCGCCGTCACCCCGGCGAGCTCTCTTTGACCTCGTTCTTTGACTCTCCATCTCTTCTTCATCCTCTTCATCAAGGCTGTCCTCCTCTTCCTCCTCCTCCTCCTCTTCTTCGTCGTCGTCGTCATCCTCGTCGTCGTTGCTGCCAGCTCTTTCAGAGTCTTCAGCTGTGGTTCCAGTCTTGCTGTCCGCCTTGGACACATGAAGTGTCTGGTTGTTCAGGTTAACCTCGACAATGATCTGCTCGCGCTTGAAGCTCTCCTCCTCCCCATCTTCATCATCATCATCGTCGTCGTCTTCTTCTTCTTCTTCTTCCTCCTCCTCGTCGTCCTCCTCCTCCTCGTCATCGTCAGTGTCGTCCGAGGTGCGGTTGTTGGCAGCCTGGGACCCGTGCGTCCCCGCCTCCTGCCCCACTCCCGCCTCACTGAAGTACTGCTGATGCTGCTGCGGCGTCACATGTTGGATGGGAATCGGACCAATGTTCTGATCCCCCATGGAGGTCTTGGTTGACATTTTATTGTCCACCAACACAGAATACGGCTTACCACCAACTTCCCGCTTATACAGCTTGCCTGCCAGGTCCAGATCTGGGTTAGGGGAGTGGAAATAGGACTGGGTAACCGAAGCCCTCCGCCCTTCCTCCTGGGACATCCCGCCAAGGATAGGAACAGAAACCTCTTCCCTCAGGCTCTTGCAGGATTTCATGAAGCGAAGAATCAAGGGATGAGTTGGTGGAAATAAAAATTTAAAAAAGGCTTGCTGCTATGGTGCCGAGCTAGACTAGCCTACTCTACCAGGAGGGGCAGGGGACGCCACGCCGATCCCCCACCCTCCTTCGACCGGAGAGACAGGAAGGAGGGGACGAGGCGATTGATATTCAACCAGATTCAAAAACAGCATCCATGCTGTCCCAGGTAGGAAATGCAGTCCAACAGACATATAATCCGTTCCAGGTTTTGCTCCATACGCTTAAAAAAAAAAAAAAAATCAAACTTAAAAATCAAAAGGCTTTTTGTCTTTGATGCTGAAAGTTTGGAGCGAATTTCCTCTGAAATGTGTATGCGAGGTGCAGGAAGGTCCCAGATTCACTGCGTCTCAACGCCGCTCCCCTGCAGAGCGCCGGTGTCTTCAAGCTGCAGAGCCGGACATGGAACTGCTGTCGGGACTTCCGCGTGTTGCCCGGAAAGCCATTTACAGTGCATCACCTGTGGGATAAGACAGAAGAAACGGAAGAGGTACAAATGAGACGTTACCATGGGGTCTGAGGTGAAACTGCTGCCATTTTGTCACCGTTTCAACAGCGAGCACCTCATTTGCCCACCAATGTTTCAGTTCCACGTGTAGGAGTCAAAACCACAGCCTTCCAAAACAAATGTGGGTGAATTCCGCTTCGAAAGCTGCGTATTCACATCTTTGCAAAGTGGCTTATTCAGTTGGATTCTGTCCCTGATGGCTACAACCATATTGAGTGGTTATTAATATGTCAAGGCCACAACTGGAACAGCTCACTATGAAACTAAATGCCGAGATGATTTGCTCTCTGGAGTCACATGAAATAATACATCTTCGCATCATAAGGTGATGAAAATGAGTTCAGAGCACATCAACATCGGAACATTTTTGAGAGTTCAGTATGAATCGCAATGGACTATGACTTCATAATATTAAACAATAAATAGCTAAATTCAAAAACATCCCTCAATCATAGTGATGTTTCGTATCTTCACATCTTATCTCATCTTAACAAACACACTAAAAACTCAATCACCGCTGATAAAAGCGAAGACTGTCTTGTCTTTCTTTATGATTGCCTTCCCATCAACTGCGAGACAGCTTGGTGTAACCACAGCTCAGAAGCTCATAAACAACCACAGGAAACTATTTCAACTGTTCAATGAAGCCTGAGCGCCGCACAGTTTGGACCATATGGAAATATTGTCACGTTTCTGCAAGTTAACAATGAAAAAATGAAAAAAACACCATCATAATGTGTGCATATAAATATATTTGAATAAATCTTGCTTTCATGGCATCTGTGCATTGGTTGCTTTTGCGTATATCTGGGCTGGGTGCCGCTGGCTGACAGTTGGTTGACCTCAAACGGCCTCACAACGAGTGTGCATCAGGGCGGTTATCTCAACAGAAAATCTCACTAAGCAACAAAGAAAAACACACATTTATTATCTGGGAGATGGGAAACATCCTCTCTCTCTCTCTCTCTTCACAAATACAGTTTGCTTTATTTCTTTAAACAAAAAGCGCTCCTCTGCTTACAAAGAAAGCATCAATAGGCGTCGCTTCACAAACCCTCGACAACTACTTTGTTCTAGTGGAGAGTAAAAGGAGCAAAAAGGTGAGAAATGAGAGTAGAGCTACACACTAACAGCAAACATTAGAGGCCGTATTATATTTGGAAACTATCCCTTGTTTTCTAAGCGGTGTCTTACTTTTACTGCAGCACTTTTGTTTTATCACAACACTCGCTGATCCAGTGATCACTGTACTTGCTGAAATCATCAGAAACAACATTGCAAGAAGCTTTGCGTATATTTAATCTTATTCTCCAGTCTAATTCATTCGCACTTAATTACTCAATAAAATAATCGTTCTGTTCCGCTCATCGCTTCATCTCACGTGACTGTAAATACGGCAGAATGAAAGTAGCCGGGGAAAATAAAAATCAATTTTCTGAGTCGTTATTAAAGCCAAACGGACGTATCAGTGTTGCGAGTACAAGCGGAAGCCTTTTGTGTAGAATGTGTCTCTCGACAAAGACAAACCTGTCTTCCTGTGCATTTTGACTCTGATCCTTTCTGAGAATTGGAGCACTGCGCTCCGAGAGCTTAAGACCACAACGGGAGGGCGAGCCCTGCGCCGACAGCCTCACATGGCCGTCTTAAACACAGAGCCCAGCAGATTACGCTGCGTCTTGATGACAGGAATAAAAAAAATTGCACAAGAAGCCACTGCCGTAACATGACTTAACATGCACCACCTTCCACACTATTTTTTTAAAAGGCACAAGGAGGGCTGAAATGAATGTTTGTTCTGAAAACTCTGAAAATGTATTTTCTTAACAATCCAAGTTATTAAAAAGTGATGCATGCTTCGCTGAAAACTGTCCCCAAAAAGCACATCTGCTAATACACAAAACACACAGTGTGGTTATGTAACCCGCAGAGCAAAATCCTTCCACCGGCTTATCATTTTCAATGAGTCATTTTAGAGTTTCACTCGCAGCGAAATAATGCAGTCCTTTGATGTGGGAATCGAACAGAGCGCAGACGTCTCAATACCACCGGTAATTATTCTGCACAATCCCCTCGTTAGTTTAGGATTTCAAACCCATTGAAACTATTGCACCCAGACATCAAAAAGAGAAAAGTGCATAAATGAAGGCCTAACCAAACTACATCTTCCCTCAATGGTGCTTCATAGACACTACGAGAAACCAACCATCTTCTCGCCACAAAGCGAGTTGTATACTAGATATAATGTGGTTTTGAGATATGAATGACACTATACAAAATCTCTGATCGAACAACATCGACTGATGCAAGTGTTCACGCATGCGTCTGCGACAGCAAGGCAGCGGGCGAGACTTCTTATGTAGCAGTGCTCCTCAAATACACGCTCCCTCTAAAGTCTAGACTTTAATGAGCTTTCCCGGGCCGCGGCCAGTAGTAAGATCGTGTGAAGGGTTCACATTCCTCACGCTGTCCAAACTCATAAGACCTTAACCGGCTCACTGTGTGCTGCGGTGCGCTCTAGGGGTGCTCCATAAGTATCTGGCCCTCAAGCCCATAATCAGGTCATGGAGCGGTATTCGGCGTTAGTAGTGCTTTCTGGTCTGGTACGAATCATCTGAGGTATGAAAAAGAAAAGTGAGAGATTAGTTTCTCCAATCTCCCCCAAAGGCAAGTTTCCTTAACTTACAGAGAGAGAGAGAGAGAGAGAGAGAGAGAATATCCAGAAGTCCACCGAGCTTCACAACTGGAAAAGATGTATTCTTAAGAAGGTAATGACAACATAGAAACATGGATCTCGTTTAAAATAGAATTAGGATGAAAAAATAGAAACACAAACGGGAGGATTTGGGCCAACAAGCTCACCGTTTCCAACTAATGAGGTTAATAAGTGCAAAACAGAGTAAATCATTTGGAAAAGTAAGTAAGTAAGATATATTTGTGCAACAACTAACGTTACTGTTTGGTTCGGGCTGCATCTTGGTGAGAGGAATCTATTCCGCAACAATACTTTGCAACTTGACATTGCAATGAATACAAAGCAAAGAAACATGTGAAAACCAAAAAGGGCAACACTGTACACCGAGCAGCAGCAACACCGTGCAGGCCTAGCCAACTTGGGCTACTTAGCTAGCTAGCAGTACTCCATGGATACTGACCTGCACAGGGCATACACATGACAAGCTAGCTTAGCCACATTAGCTCAAGATGCAGCCATTAACATTTTTTTTTGTGCAGTCAAACGTCCCTCAACCTCAAAAACAATGCGTTTTAACCTGCGCGAACTGTACGATCTAAATGCTGATGTTTGCTAACATACATTAACTTACAACAGACACTGCATTCACTTTTTCCTTCAACCCCCAAACCGCCCTGATTGGGGCTAACGTTAGTTAGCTTAAAGCTAGCACTAACGTCAGATCGCTATTAACGTTGACATTTGTTTTTGCTACCGCGTTGTAAGCGGCGAGGCGGCTGTCGGAGCAACACAAAGGAAAAGGAAAAGAAGATGTCACGCTTTTGTAATTAGTGTAACGTTATCTTGGACGAGCAAGATGAGAGGCGCCGCTTTCCTAACAAACACCCCCCCCCACACCCCCTACGACCGCTGGTCAGACCCGCCGGACTCTTGTCACCGGGCTGGCTGAGCTGGCGGACTACTCTAGTCTGACCAAACGTCTCCTCGAGCCGCGGCCGCCGCACGGCATTCGTTTAGGCGCACATAGGGACGCGTTACGCGGGCGCATTTTGCGGTCGGTTGGCTGGCTTACCTCGTCGAGAGCGACCTCCTCCCCTCCCGCGTTCGTGCAATCAGGAGTTGCACAGATTCGGGCTCGAACGCGCACTTTCCTCGCTCGCGCGGATGTGCATTTAGGACAGAGCAACGCCGGTGATCTTTTTTGGGAGGGGGCAAATGAGTGTGTTTGTTGATGTCTCCGGTCGGCTGCAGAGGTACCTGCGCCCCGGTGTCCTCTGCCTCGCTACGTGGCGCTCCTCCTCGGCATCCAGGCCTGTGCGGACGCGCAGCGGCGGCTGGGTCGAGGTCCGGGACTAGGTTTAGATCTGGGACCAGGTTTAGGTCCGGTACTTGGTTTAGGTCTGGAACTGGCCCTAGGTCCGGGACTAGATTTAGAGCTGGGACCAGGTTTAGGTCTGGGACTAGATTTAGTGCTGCGACCAGGTTTAGGTCTGGGACTACCCATAGGTCCAGAACTAGATTTAGAGCTGCAACCAGTTTTAGGTCTGGGACTAGATTTAGAGCTGCAAATAGGTTTAGGTCTGGGACTAGATTTGGGGCTGGGAACAGGTTTAGGTCTGGGACTAGCCCTAGGTCCAGAACTAGATTTAGACCTCCAACCAGTTTAATGTCTGGGACTAGCCCTATAGGTCCGGGACTAGATTTAGAGCTGGGACCAGGTTTAGGTCTGTGACTAGTTTTAGAGCTGCGACCAGGTTTAGGTCTGGGACTACCCATAGGTCCGGGACTAGATTTACAGCTGGGACCAGGTTTAGGTCCGGGACTAGATTTAGAGCTGGGACCAGGTTTAGGTCTAGCCCTAGGTCCAGAACTAGATTTAGAGCTGAAACCAGTTTTAGGTCTGGGGATACCCCTAGGTCCGGGACTAGATTTAGAGCTGAAACCAGTTTTAGGTCTGGGGATAGCCCTAGGTCCGGGACTAGATTTAGAGCTGGGACCAGTTTTAGGTCTGGGGATAGCCCTAGGTCCGGGACTAGATTTAGAGCTGGGACCAGGTTTAGGTGTGGGACTAGCCCTAGGTCCGGGACCAGTTTTGGTCTGGGACTAGATTTAGGTTTGGGCTCAGTATCATCTCCCCTCCAGACCAGACACGCAGCGCGCACACACGTCCGTTAAGTTGATATCTTGATTTATGAAATAATAATGAGGACCCTGGGGACCTATTTGCTCCCTCAATAGAGAAATCCTTCAAGTGTAACAACGTATTCGTTTTTTCTTACCGTCAACACTCTTTAATATCAAACCTCGTCCTCTGGCAACCCACAGGATTACTATCCTTATAACAGTTGGAAGAATGCATGAAAATATTTTCTAAAACAAACATTTCTTCAGTATATCTAAAATAACTAGATTGTTTAATATACAAGTTTTAATTTCTTCCCAGCCATCAACTTTCCAACTATTCTATTGATTTTGAGGACTTACCAGAGCTGTTAAAAGGTGGCAACAATGAACAGTAAAACTTACAGTTCAGGTTTTCTTCATTGCAAAAAACTCAATCATAAATCACCAACGGGCTCAGTTGTATCCCCTGTAGTGATCATGGTTAAACTCAATAAACAATGATGTACAAGCTCCTCCCGAGGCTTTGGACAACAAGTATGACAATTGGGAGGTAGAAAGAATTTTATTAAGCAGAGCCATTTCTGAAATATGGTGCATATGTCGTCTCCACACAAACTAAAGACACAGCAACGAGTATATGCATGAAGCCATATGTACTTCTGGCAAAACAGAACAAAAAGTCAATGAATTGTTAGCACACAGAACAGCGTAATGGCATTTATTCTTCACGATTTATCATCTTATTTTAGGCAAACACAAATGTTTTTCATTGATGTTAAAACACTCTGCTGCCTTCCACACATGCGATGCTCTGAAATAATGTAGCACGGATAAATCTTCATTAAATGGTCTGCTTTATCATCTCTTTCAAAACAAGTGCTATAGATTACCCTCCACTGCCTTACGCGTCAGCGGACTTTTATATACGTATCCATCGCACCCTCTCACTTTCTCTCCCACCATTCTGTCATCTGCAGAGCCCAGTCCAGAGTTGGTTAGAGAAAAGAGTAAGAGGAATGTGTGTGAAGTTGAGAGTTCTTTATTGAATCCTCAAACCCCTTCCATGGCCCTTGTGATCGCTGCCGACCGCAAGGGTGGGCTGGACATGAGATGTCATCACTGGGGCAACTGGAGCAACGTGCCCTGTCCTGATGGCAGATAAGTGACGTTGCGGGAGCGGGAGAGCTGCAAGGCGATGTCCTCAGCCGCCTCCAGCTTGCGTAGCTCTACCAGACCATCACCAGCAGCCATCAGAGAATTGGCGATGAGCAAGGCAGCCTGGGAATCTCCCTCCGCAGAGATGATGGCCGCCTGCTTCTGTTGCTCTGCCTAAAAGGGTACAAATATTTAGTTCGCTGGCCGTAACCTATGGATGCTGCAGTCACATTTCGTATTGTACAAGTAGTAAGGGGATGATCTGAGAGTTAAAAATGTACCTTTTCGACAACGAAACGGGCCCTCTCAGCCTCCTGCTGGGCAACCTGCTTCATCTCAACAGCCTCGGTGAATTCCTTGCCAAAGGTCAAGTGTGTCTGAAAGAACACAATACAACTGTTAAAGTCAATTTGAAGAGACAACACAAACAAGGTTGCAATATTTGCAAACAGCTTCTTACCAGTGAAACGTCATCCAAGATGAGGCCAAAGGTGTTTGCTCGTTCTGTCAGGTCCTCGCTCACCTGCCGGGAAACAAGCTCTCGCTGGGTGATGAGCTCACCAGCATCAAAACGAGCCTGTGAAAAGAAAAATCGGGAGTCACACTTGGGAGGAGTCTGTTCATCGCGCCCATAACGGGAAACTACACTGCATTTTTTGGGCAATAACTCCTGACTGATACTCACCACTACGGACTTCAAGACCTCTGTGGTGATGGATGGAAGCACCCTCTCGTCATAGTCCTCACCAATACTGGTGAAGATGCGTGGCAACTGGGTGGTCAGCGGCCGGAAGAGGATACGCAACGTGATATTAACATTCTGCAGATCTGTGGAGGGAATAAGTGAACTTACTGCACATATTAACATTTGAAACACTGTTTCTAAGATTAAAACTTTGTGTGTACAGTATGTAATGTTTGCACAACTCATAGACAAATGTAAGCATTCTTTATATAGCTTTGTCATATTGGATAACAATGCATGTTTAGATGTGCATGCTTTTTTCCCATCCTCATTGCATTATTGCATTATATGCCATCAGAGCTCAGAGAGACACAGAACAACATCCCAGCAGTTTAGTAAGTAATCGTTGTACCTTTGCTGCCTGTGATGACGGGAACGTTGCGTGGACGGGAGCGACAATCAAAGATGATGGGTTTCTGAACCCAGGGGATGAGGAAGTGGGTACCTTCGCCAACTACAGTGTCCTGCACTCCTCTGAACCTGTCAAAGATAACAGCCTGGTGCCCTGCATCCACTGTAGAAACAAGTATAGTTACTCTTTGCAAGTACATGTTTATAGTTCATTGCAGTGTTTTAATAACTTTAGTCAAAGTTCAGATCGTACAAATGTCATAACTGAAGCACTACACATTAGTACAGGACTGTTTTGAGGTTTATCAAAAGAAATACTATTGAAAATATGGTAATCGTTCACTAGAACAATTCATCAGTTAGAACACACTGCAAATACATAGACAGCAACACTGTAAATCATGTTACAAACAAATTAGATGTTTAAGAAAAATATGCTTGATGAACAGATGACAAAATATAAAAATCAGAAATACTCAAATAAGCATTTTGGTTTTGATTAGAAAAATAACAAATATTTCTCCAGCTGCGTTGAACTAGGATTTTTTTTCTTCGATTTCTGATTATTTGGGATCAGAGTAGTGAAGCGTTTCTCTTCATTAACTTGTTTTTTTTTTAATTTAAACTGTTTATTACACCATGTGCCGTGTAAATTGTGGGGTTGTGCCAAATAAACCTCTTGGTTTATCAAGTTGCTGTGGTTTAAACTTGACCATATCCAATTTGATCAAATTTATGCGTCAGTTAAATGTGGTGATTCTATTCAACTAGTTTTACATTTTATAACAACTGGAATGACAATCACTCAGTCAGTTAATACTCGCCAGTAAAGTGAACGCGTAGTAAACTGGGACAGGTTGAGAATAACCCGATTGGTTTATTTAAGAGTCCCATCAACAAACAAGTTACTCACCATTGAAAAGAGCAGAGTTTGCAACACCTCCACCAATGGCGAGGGCCAGCCCCAATTTCCCGATTGACTCGAACAGCTTGGCCATGACAGCAATCCCACTAGTAGTGGATATAAGAAAGATTAGTACACTTAGAAGACTTCAGATACAGGTGCCTATGAAGCGAATATGAATCCTCGTCCATCCAGTAATAGTTCCCCATGGCCTTTAAGCTGTGGTTGTTAGCTGATTTAGCTCCCTAGCTAACATGAACCGGTCACCTAACGTTAGCTAGCTAGCTAGCTAGCTAGCTGCGTGCTGAGCTGCAAATGTGGACTGAGACATAACAAACAAAGCCGAACCAGATCAGCAGGATGTATTCAGAGTCCAGGAAATGTGCTACATGACATATCATTTCAAACCGATTAAAATTAAAGTGCGTGTCGGCAAACGTGCGCACGTTACATGTCGGGATATGTAACGTTAAAGGGGCTGATCTCATGCGCGCCTTACTCAATACTATCACTTCATATGACGTTACATATGTATAAGGTTTAACAAAACCTCTCCAATCTGCTTTCTATTCATCGTGATAAACACACTTTCTATACAATTCAGCGTTCTTAATGTGACCATCATCAACACACTGGCTGGACTCACCTCAGTTTTGTTCAGATGCGTGTGACCTCCACCGGACACGACGTATAACGCATGAAATATCTGATCGACAGCGCATGCGCGAAGCTCGTAGTAACGTAGCCTCTGATTGGACAAGAGACGGACTTCTTCTTCTATCCCTTTGTGTATTTGATCGGCTTTCATGTAATCAGCCGTTACTGCCACCTATTAAACACATATTTGTTTTAAGGCAGTTTATCTGAAAAATACAACACACGGGAATATAGACTACAACTATACTAAATACTATGTCCACGATAATTGATTCGTTGTGTATAGTTAAATTGATCTGGCATAGAGTTCATAGAATTTCAACTGTTTAAACAGTTACAAGGCCTGCTCGTTGTAAGCAGCGAGTCGCCCCTTTGTCGCCCCCTCGCGGGGACACCACACATCACACAGCGTGTAGTTTCGCTTTCCCCCATAGTCATAGTAAAGTGTGACGGGTTTGAGGCAACAGCGAGAAACCGCCGTGAAACAGTTGTAAGGTCTGTAAACGTTACAAATCTTAAAGATGTAAAGATGTTTTAAATCAGACGGTGGCGTCGGGTGCAATCACGAGATCCGTCGATGGTGCGACAGGCGCATCACTGCGATCTCTCTGATTTCTCTCCACTTCCTTGACAAGCAGCTCTGCGGATGTGGCTGCTCGGCTCGCTTCTACATATTGTTTTGTGACATTCTGAGGCAAGAAGCACTCAATATTTTGCTGAATTGTTGCAGGGGGAGGCTGTAATTGAGAGCAAAATAGTCTCGGATTCAACATGACATGGTTACTTTGCTGGGACCCACATTTATTGTGTTTGTGTGGTCAAAGCAACCAGTAGTTAGTTAAAAAAAAAGCCCATGTGGCTTTTAGAGCAATTTTTAGCGCAGCTTTTAGAGCAGTTAGCGTCACAATCTGAAAAATATTCCCACTAGTTTCAGATTTATATTCAAAAATTGTACCTTAGCTAACAGATGGCAATACGTGTGTTTTTACAATACAGATCAATTGTGTAATAGTTGTGGCATTACATTGATCAGATCATCAGATCATATTCGGCAAAAGCTGGCATCATCTTAGTCTTTCAATTTGCCAAAGAAAAAGCTGTAGACTGCAGAGGGATCTGAGACGTCTTAATATGTTTGAGATTATTATTTGCACACCGTTTCAACTTGTTTCTCACTATGTCACCCTGAAATGGACATTTCCGAGTTATGTTGATGTAGTGCCCTAGTTGCCCCAATAGAGGGTGCTACCTTATCAACCATGTCTCCCTTCCTATTTGCAAGGGTGGGGTCTGTGAATGGTAGGCCAAGGATTTTTCCATCCACTGCTTTGTAAAGCTTTTTGGTGTTTCAGCCTTTTTTTTCATCGTCCTGTTAAGGTTCACGTTCACCACAGTCTGAATTGTTTGGCGTGCCTGTCTTGCTTGTTCTTCACGGAAGTGTTTTTTCTTCTCCCAGCAGATGGCAGAGTCGGGCAGGACTGTGAGGGTGAGTGGTCTGCCCTCTCACATCGAGGATGACAGGCTGAAAGACAAGCTATTCATCCACTTTCTAAGAGCCAGGAACGGAGGAGGGGAAATAAACTCTGTCACCATTGTAAAGGCAACGCCCGTCTCTGCCCTCATCACCTTTGACGACAGCAGAGGTCAGTAGGGGTTAGGGTGTGCGCATGTCTGTGCATATGAAGTGTAGGGCAGATGGCTTTTTAATTGATTCCATTGCATAGACATGCTGGTGTGGGAATACTATCAACTGTATTCTACCATCTACACCCTCCCCCTTTTTCAGAATACAACAGCCAATGCTTTATTAACTTTTCTCCAAAGACCCCAAAATGTCATTGTGGAAATGAGTAACATTATTCACTATGTCAGCTGTGACAAGTGATTTACACTGAGCCGGAATTTTGTGATGCAAGTCAGTGGAGTAGCCAAAGGTAAAGGGCTTAGGGAGTATGCTTTACAGGCTGAGGTTGATTTCTGTCTGGGGATCCCTCTCACACAGTGGCACAGAGAGTTATTCAACACAGACAACACACTCTGGAAGTGGATGAAAAGAAGTATAAAATCCTTGTAACTGAACACCAAGAAAGAATGGACCCAGACAAGGTAAACTTAGGCAGACCTTTGGAAAATATATCAACAAATTCTGAATAGACTGTTAAATGTTAAAAATGTCTGTCTCTCTTCTGCCATTATCACAGGTCATCTTAAACTTATCAGCAACTGTTGACCACAGCCAGCTTCCTGGAGGAGCGATGGCGATGACACACCTTCATAAGAGCCACCCGGATATCGAGATAAGCTACGGCGTTACTGAGGAATTGTGCACATTAAACGGTGCCTATTCCAAAGTCCAGGCTGCTCTGGCACAGCTATTAGGTCTTCCCAAAGGCCCCAAATCAGCCGGCCACAAAGAATCGAGTCAACCTGCCACCAGTGGATCAAAGTCGGTCCAGGCGGCGCTGGAGCCTCATATTCCGGAGTGTCGGAGCAGGAAACATAATAAGCAATGGGAGCAACGAGAGAAAGTTCACCTCGGCAGGCATTGTGATGACTACAACTCCGGCTCACACAGAGACACGACACCTGGCGCTTACGTTTTGGAAGATACGACGGAGGGTGCAGCTCGGCAGCTTCCTGTGCATCCTCCTGCATCGGAGGACGACTTCTCACTAATTGTGGATGCAGACATGTTTCAGTATACCCAGAAACACTGCAGGGAGGAATACGAGCATATCCTCAGTAAGTATGGCGTTGATGCCGTGGATATGACAAATGAAGGGGTGACTACTCTGTACTTGCAGGTAGCAACAGGGGCGGGGGAAGATGGCCGGGATCAGGAGTGCCTGAGGTTGGCAAGAAAGGCAATAAGTTGGCTTTACGAGGAGAACGAGACCAAGATCCGTCGAGACCAGCTGCCTAAGAGCATCCTGTCCCTCAGGGGGGGGCAGCAAAGGGTGATGGACACCTTAAGTGTCAGATTCCCGAAGCTTCTTTTGAACGAAGACGACAGGAATATTTACATAATTGGGAGCAGCTGTGATGTGTCTGAGGCGAAGCAGCTACTTCTACTGGACCCGAGCACGACGAGTGGCAAAAAAGAGGATGTTGCCAGTCTTCTTAGATATCCTCCACCTGATTCTGGTTCATCAACTCACGCTCATGAGTGGAAAGTTCCCCTCACCTTTGCAGCTTTGTCCTCCATTGCAGATTTGCAAGGTGACACGACAGATCAGCAGTTCAGGTCAGAGGAGGATGAGAGGAGGGCTGAAGGAGCCAGAAAGTATAAACTAGCTGCTCGATTTAAGGATTCAGGACTTGCTGCACTGGGCAGTCGACCAACTGACTTCTCCTTACGAGGATTCTCGTCTCCCCTTCGACAAACAGGCCCTGGGCCGATTCCAGGTCACGATGTACTGTCAGAAACAGCAGGGACGTCCTATGAAAGTGTCTCCAGAGCGTTGGCCCAAAACACCGGAGGGGACATCTTGTTCAAGAGTGGATATGCTTTGCCTTCAAATGCTTCGTTGCAGAATAAAACCTCCTTGCAAGGTCATTTAATTGATACTCGACTGAAAAGTTTGCCATCTACCATTAGCACAACGCAGTCCAGTGCGTCAGGAAGTGCTTTACCTCCACCTGCCGGATCTGGATCCACCTTGAAGCGAGCCAGCAGTTTCTCGGGAACACCTCTGCAGAAGGCCCAAGTTGTGAGTCAAAAGAGTCAAGACGACTCCGCTAGGTCGACGGTCAAAGCCAGGGGCCGGTCCGCCAGCTTCGGTAACCAAGCGGGGAAGGACAAACGGGAAGTCTGCCATGCAGAGGTGACACTTTCCGGTGTGATGTGGGAGCACATAAAAGAAGCCTACAGCTCCCGAGTGGACGACCTGACTTCTGATGTCCAGATGAAAGAAAGGTGCTCAGAGGGTAGTTTGGATGTGACGCTCACCTTAAGAGGGGCGACCTCATCCAGAGTGAACCCATGTCAGCTAGGTCTGCAGAAGCTGGCGGACTCTGTTGGGGTAGACTTCTCCGTGCACGAGCTGCGCCTGTCAGAGCTGGGTGTCACTGACGCAGAGGATGAAACCCTTCAGGCCTGTTGTGCTGAGGTCCGTGGCAGGTTCAAGAAAGTCACAATGCAGTTTTCAAAGAAGAGCTTATATCTTAGGGGCCCGCAGGTGTTGTGTTCTCAGGTGGGTGCCTCACTGCGGGAGGTATTTTCTGGGGATCTGGTCCAAGTACCTGAACAACAGGACCTCTGTGGCCCTTCTACCTCAAAATGGAGTCCATCCACGTTTTTGCCAGAGAACGAGGACCAAAGTAGTCTGCACTGTTGGAGTAACCCTCAGGTGATGCTAGGGGGCCAAACAAGCAAAGCCCATAGGATGGATAGTGGCCAGGAAAGGAGACGAAGCCAGAGAAGTGACTTCCGTGAGACAGAGCTTGTGAATGGCTCTATTAACCAACTGTTGGCGAGGAAAAACCCTGTCTTTAAAGAGAGAGTGAAAGTTGTAGAACCAGAGGAGATGGAGGGTTTGGTCAGCCACAGTAAAACAGGAATGGGTACCGTGAGACATGTGAATGACGTCATGTTAACGACAACCAACAGTGATAAAGACACAGCTCTTCCCAAGAAGGAGATACCTATAGACTCTGGCCACAAGGAAAGCACGCAGCAAAGACATGCTGGGATGCAAGACACACGAGAGGAGTCCAGTTTAGGTGCTGCGGTGCTGGGGAGCATCTGCGTGTGCTGTGAGATTGAGGCCGTGACGATAAAGACAAAGTGTGGAGCTACCATGTGCTCAACGTGCCGCGACACTCTACACATCCCCTGCAGAGTTTGTCAGGAGGCCGAGGCGACGACACGGGGCATCAAGGGCCAAATGAGCTACTCCAAACTAAACATCACTGTACCAGGTCACAAAAAAGACTCTGCCATCAAGATCACTTACTGCATTCCAGATGGTATCCAAGGGGTGAGCGGCTTATTTTACACACATTCTCACTGATAACTGTTATAGATGATACGTGCAAGCTACAAATATACTGTTTAGTGTCGCAGTTGGCACATATGAGACGTCAACAAGCATTAAGCGGAAACAATTATGATTCATAGGGTACTTCCTATTGTGCGTAGGCAGTTACCATTCTGCATGAATGCCGTGTGCCAAAATGCCACATGAAGCTTTAATATCCAGACTTTGCTCTTCGCTCACACAAGAGGAAGTCTAAAGAGCGTCTTTACTCTGTTGTACCAGGAAAATCACCCGTCTCCAGGAGAAGCATTTCAAGGAGGGGTGTTTGAAGCCTTTCTTCCAGACAGCGAGAGGACGAGGACGCTGCTACCAAGGCTGGAAGAAGCATTTAGGCAGGGGCTCATCTTCACCGTGATTGGTGTAGACACGGGGGCCAGGGCCTCGTGGGACGGCATCCCACACAAGACCACCCTACACGGAGGCAAGTCAGGGTGAGTGAGTCCAGCGTGAACGTCTAACCAAGCTGTGAAGTCAGAGGTCCCATTGGTCCATGTATCTGAGATGAGCAGGCTTCTTTTTGTTTCCCACAGGAACGGCTACCCAGATTCCACTTACTTGACTCGCTTGTCCGATGTCTTGACCGCCAACGGGATTGGAGAAGCAGCAGCCAAGTCTTAAGATAAAAGCAATGTGAGCAGTTTTATAATTCAAAAAAGTGATTGGAGACTGTTGGCGCACATTTAAGTTGTTTTGTACTCGTGTTTTCCGGCGAATTGTTTGTGTCTTAAAATAAAAATAACTTACTTTCAAAAACTTCTGAACTTAACATCGGATATGTCAATCCATTTATTTATAACAAAAATAACAAACAATTCGGTTCCCAATCCGCCGTGCCTCACGGTCAAAAGTTATCTGCCTCGCTGTGCGCCACACCTGCACTAATTAGCCCTGGCGTTAAATAGGCTGGTGGCAAAAACAGCGCCATCCCATTGCCGTATTCAGAATGGCTCCAACACAACCGGCCCCTAATTGTTCATGGCACTTCAAGACATGACAATTACAAACAATTCATGTATGGAGACATTCATACAACAAAAACAACGTTTGCAAACAAAAATAATAAACAAAAGCAAATCAACCCTCTTTTGGTGCATTTGTTTTACTTTTACATTGACTGCTCTACCAATAGTCCTAGTTTTGTCACTGGTCTTTCAATTACATTTGTTTTGGTTTTGATTTGCACAGATCTAACTATGCCTGATTTGTCTGGAAAGGATTTAATAATCCTTCCAATCATCCAAGAATTTCGTGGTGCTGTAGCATCTGCAATCAAAACAATATCTCCTTCCATAAGATTACGTTGTGTTTTGTTCCACTTTTGTCTTTCCTGTAGCGTTGCAAGATACTCTTTCGTCCACCTTTTCCAGAACAAATCTGAAAGATACTGAGCCTGTTTCCATCTTCGTCTTACGTACTGGTCCTTTTGATCAAACAGACCTGGAGGCAAAACTGGTATTCTTTTCAAAGTAAGAAGATGATTAGGTGTTAGTGGCTCTAAATCATTAGGATCCTCAGAAACTCTCGTAATTGGTCGGTCATTCAAGATTGCTTCGGCTTCGCATAAGACTGTGACTAACGTTTCATCAGTTAGAGTCTGTAGATGTAAAACAGATACCAAGACCTTCCTGACCAGTCTGATCATGCTTTCCCAAGCACCGCCATGATGGGAAGCTGCAGGTGGGTTGAACGTCCACTTGATATTGTCATGAATTAAAGCCTTCTCAATTGATCTGTGGTTTAAATCTGCAATTGCTCTTTTTAGTTCCTTTTCTGCACCTGTGAAATTTGTGCCATTATCTGAGCGAAAGTGTGCCACGGGTCCTCTTCGGCATATGAATCGACGAATAGCACTGATGCAGGAGTCTGTGTCTAACGAGTGTGCCACTTCTAAATGAATTGCCCTGCTGGCCATGCATGTAAAGATAACTCCATAACGTTTCACATAAGAACGTCCTTGTTTTACCTCAATAGGCCCAAAATAGTCCACGCCCACGTTAGTAAATGGAGGGAAGTCTGGAGTAATCCTCTCTTTGGGAAGATCCGACATCTTTTGATCACACAATTTTCCTTGGTGACGTCTGCAAAAAGGACAATTTGACAAGATTTTCCTTGCTGCTGCATTGGCATGAGTGACCCAGAACTTCTCTCTCAATTTGGAAAGGATGTAATTTCTCCCACCGTGTCTTGTCTGTTCATGAATATTTTTAAGAATTAACATGGAGATGTGCTGATCTTTACACAGGATGACTGGATGTTTGCTCTCTTCGGGCATTGCAGTCCTGGACAATCTTCCACCAACTCTTACCAGTCCTTCCTCTAAGACAGGATTCAGCTTGTAGATAGGAAAACCTGTAAAAGGGTGTAGTCCTGTCTTTAGTGCACAAATCTCAGTGTCAAATCTTTCCCTCTGACAGAACTGAAGGATAGCGTTTTCTGCTGCTAATAGATCCTCCGTTGATACACGTTCTCGTTTGAACGACCTTCTGGCTTCCAACATTTTTCTGTCAACATCAAGATTAGCCATTCCATCTTTCACAAGTTGCTTCCTTCTTTGACTCAACTCCAATAGAGTCCCTTTGACCAACAGCAACCATGCAACTGCAACTTTCAACCTTTTCCAGTCAGAGAAATAGGTGATGAGTTGGCTCGTTGCATTATCCTCTTGAATGGTTATTGCGTTTGTGGAGATTTCCACTTTGACCTCTGGATCATCCTCCTCCGAAAACCCATTCCGACTGTCCTCTGCTGTCTTCCTTAGAGCATAACATGCACAACTAGGCGACGACACTGCTCCAAAGAGATGTACAGTCATTCTATATTCTTCAACTTGCTTGTGCAGATCTCCATTAGGCCACCACAGGAACCTTAGAAAGTCTTTGTCTTCGTCGGCCACTCTAACTTGATAGAACATAGACTTCACATCAGACATAAAAGCAACTGGTTCTTGTCTGAATCGTAGAAAGACTCCTATTAAGGAACTTGTAAGGTTCGGACCCTGCAGAAGTTGTTCGTTCAAAGAAGTTCCTTTAAACTTAGCTCCACAGTCGAAGACAACTCGCAACTTGCCCTTCCGTGGGTGATATACTCCATGATGAGGTATATAGAACAGGTTATCTTCTCCACAACGCAATTCATCCTGTGGTACCATTTCTGCATAGCCACTACTGATGACATTTTCAAGAAAGCTTGTGTATTCTTGGTGGAATTTCTCATTTCTTTCCATTTTCCTTCTTAGTCCAATGAGGCGCTGTTGAGCAATACAACGGTTGTTTGGCAAAGTTACCTCTTGGGCTTTAAATGGCAGCTTTAAACTGTAATGTCCGTCCTTTAACTTTACAGATTGATCCATTATTTTAATGAATCTTGCCTCTTGCCTTGACATTTCTTCATTGTCGTCGGCGATTTTCTCATTGAAGTCACTTTGGTACTGCTTCTCCAATAACAGCTGAAGTGATTCTACAGATAATCTGTTTACAGAAACAGAAGGATAGCCAATGCCATTCCTATTGTCTTTGGAATCCTTTCCTAAGCCATTGATCACCCACCCTAATAGGGTTTTAACAGCAAAAGGACCCTCACCTTGGCTATTCACAATTTCCCATGGTTCTAGCAACTTTGAAGCATTAGTACCTATTAATAACTCCACGGTAGCATCAATTTCAGGGATTTCAATGTGATCAAGGTAAGGCCACTGTGATATGTCCTCTGGTTTTATGATGTTTGCTGTGTCAACTGGCATCTTTTTCTGTGTGTAAACATTTGGAAGACTGTAGTACCTTGTTCCATTAAGGCTAGCTACTTCAAGTCCATTCACAATGTATGTTGACACTGATGTCTTTGGGCTCATCGTTAACAAACCTATTTTTGACTTTGTTCCAGTAACAGAGACAATTGCGCTGTGGTGATTAAGATCAGCTTTTATTATTCCGAGAATTGTTACAGCTCACATTGCAGTGATTGTGGATTTCCCAACGTCATAACCTGCCTCACTGTTGCTTTTTTCAAGATTGATGACATTTTTTCAAAATGTGTTCTTGACTGAACCCCTTGTCTTAAAGATTTCAATTAGCATTCCTGAACATGTTCTTAGTGTTATTTGGAAAAAGATAAATGCACGGTACTGTGTATATACCTTTTTCTATTTTTTAGGATCTTGTTGTTCAGGAAGAAATCACTGAAAAATGGGGGGAGTTACTTTATATTTGTAAAGATTTTCCTGAATGGGCACCGAAATAAAAGAGTACATCTTCTGACATTTTTGTTATGCTTTTTTTATTAGTCCTGGAAAACATGTAAGGCATATGGTAACATTACACACTGAAGCATTACAAGCTCTAGAGGCCATGTGGCCAACATGGCACCACGCAGTAAACCCAGAGTCAAGCACAGAAGCAGCATCAATTCAAAGGGTTCAAAAAACAAAGTGGAGATGAGAAGAGCATTTGCAACCAGGAAAAAAACCCACCAACACAAGGAAGGACAGAGAGAGGAGAACTCGCTTAGAAATCAACCACGCCTTGTAGAAAATTGCCGGTGGTGACTGAATGCTAACAGGTGTGCTATGTGGGACAGATGTGAAGTGAGTTTCTGAAGCCTTCCCAGTTAAGTTGTATCATCATGAATGAACCAGCTGACCATGCGAGTCCCCATTCTGAGGGTGAGGACATGGAGTCAGGTGGCACAGGAGGGATGCGGGGGGGCAGTGGATCGGCTTCAGTTGGCAACTTGATACGACTCGAAGGGCGTTCTCCACCCTCACACGACGCCACTACACGACTACTGAACGGCCCCCGGAAAGGGACGGTGTGAACTGTACATAAACACGTGCCTCGTTTTCTGCTCGACCAAACGTCCGTCCCAGTACAGTGGACGTGACGAGCCCAGCCAGGCTGTACTTCCGCAGCTTCGCTGCAATGTTGCTGCGATGGAGGAATGACTGCTACGGTGACAATAGCTGCAGACCGGCGTGGTTGTTTGGGTTCTCAGCGTGGGGAGGAGTGAACGCTGCGGCTCTGAACATGGAATTAACCCACCGTCAGAGCCTCACCCTTTGACTGGGAGTACTAAGCTTACATAGACCGTGGAGGGCGTTACAGTTTGCGCAGTGAACTGCGGTGAAACGGAATGATGTTGTATATGTAGTGGAGTAGTTTCTCGGGTGAAGAAACCCGTTTTTTGGAATGACCTGAGAAACCATACAAAAAAACAAAAGAAATTCACCTCAAAGCTAAACGGTGGGTGCCTGTAAGGAACTTCAGCTGTACAAGCCGAGACGGACGGAAGAGTAGCGCTATTGGAAATACTACACTCATTGCCTTGGTGTGTTTTTTTCAAGCCTAAAACTACGAGTGTTAATTCATTATATCAAATCTAAAACTGCAAATGTTCAGAAAATGAATCACTTTGTTTTTTCTTTGAAACACTGTTTTTCTCCCGTGCATCTCTGAGTTGCTAGGTACTTTTGCATAAGTGTTTCTGGAATAACTGGGAAACATCACAATGCAGATTCCCAGTGGCGGAAGTGCCCAGGCGGCCGCCACCCGCCCAACTGATCGAGACCATTCCAAAGGCATCGTAGCTCAAAGGAGCCAAAGGGACAGCGATTATAATAGTTTTTTCACATGCCATTGAATGCATGCAGTTTCAAATTCCAGATGTTAAACTAATGTTTATTTGCTATGATTATGTAAGGAGAAAGAAGGGGGCGACTTTTGGAGAGAATTTTGGACTGTGAATGTTGCACCGTCCACAGGAAAAGAGGAACGTCTCCAATGGTCCTTGAGTGAACTGGGATCAGATGCAAAGAGGGAATGTTGTGTCTGCGGCAGGAAAGAGCTGAGCTATCATCAGCCAATAAGCTGGGTTTTTGTGCAGCTGTGTTTCAGTATTGGCATCCCTGTACAGCTGCGTGAAAACATCTGCTTCCTCACTTGCTACACAAGCCGCTTGGAAACAAACGGAAATGGAGCAGAAATCCAGAGAGGAATACCATGGAGCTTTGCAGTTGGAAAAAAAATTGCAGATATCAGGGAATCTATTTTCTTTTGGTGGAGTTTTGAACCTTAAATGCACCATATCCAGTCCCTTTTCACTGTGATACTAATATTATGGTTGTAAACACTTCAACCTGTTGTGGTCGACATGACGTGAGAGCTGGTAAAACACAGTGAAAAGGATATAAATACGGGGGAAGGTGCCTCGGATTGAGGTAAACTGTGTGCAAGGAGAGAGGCACAGTGCAGGCTGATGCTATAGTACGACTGCAACCAATCCAAAACTACAAATTGTGTTAAATCTTTTGTAAACTGCGGCAAAAAATCTTTCAGCACCCATGAGCATTCGGGATACAAATTTAACACACTGTGACAAATCTTTTTTGTATTTTTCACTTTTCTTCGAGGTTGACGGAAATGCATCCCAAAACAGAGTTGTATTCATATTTTTTATGCAGTACATATTCAAAGCATTGACAGAAGAATATACATACAATTTGGCACACGTGGTTCGGACCAACAGAACGACTTCATCACATTTAAAAGGAGTGCAGCTTGGCAGGTCCCCACATAGGATAATGAGCTTTGAACTTTAAACCCTTACATAACAAATCAGACAAACAAACAAATATAAAGGTAAATTAAAATAACATAGTAAGTAAAAGATATTTCTCTTTTTTTTTTTTTTTAACCGAAGCGTTTGTTTCTCACATGGCACCGTCCACAGCTTCACAAAAGGGAGCCCAGCAGATTAGAACAGAACACTAACCAGAGGCTGGCAGGACACCGTCACTCCCCAACGCAAGCGCGGCAGACGCACTCCGGCCCAGTTCACTCCGCCGGGCGGAACCATCTCGCTCTCCGAGGACGGGGACGGACGAGTGCTGTGACTTTAGCTGCCGCCGAGGAAAAGCGCCCACGGGCGGGACGGACTGGCAAGCTGAAATGTGGGAACCATTTTCATGTTGGTGTGTGTGGTGTGTTTGTATGTGTGTGCCACCTGTTCCTTCGGGTGAGCTGGAGCAGATACACAGGGAGTGGATGGAGGCCAACGGGCTGCACAACTGGAGCCGCGTCAAAGCCTGCGTGGGACTGGAGTGCGACTGCCGTGCCTGTAAGTGATTTAAGATCAGCGCGCAGGGTGCAAAATACTAATACCGACTGTCCTCATAACACAGGCCTCCTAGCAGGCAGGAGGGAAGAGAGATAAAGTAAGAAGTGGGGGGTTGCAGGTGGAGCTACATAATATTGTAGCGGAGTAGTGTGAGGGGTTAATGTGGCAGGGGCTTGGAGGGTGCTTTTAAAACCTGAGGACACACACACACACACACACACACACACATCTTCACACACAATGGCACAACACACGCCGCACATGAGGGGGGCCACTCATGCTAACACAACAACTTGTTTCTTTCTTCTTCTTTTTTTTTTTTTTTAAACATTTTTTCTGTGTTTTTTTTTTTTTTTTATAAAGTCACTAGTCACCATCTGAGTCTCCACACTGAGGCCGGGCTCACAGACAGGCAGGCAGGCAGGTAGGCGGATACATCTCTAAGGTTTAAAATGTATATCCTCCTACATGAAACATTTGGAGTCCACCCAGTAGGATCGATCGCAAATGCTAAAGATTTACTTTAATTACATTACACCAGTGAGACAAACCGTAGGGGGGCAGGGGGGTTATTCGCCAGCGCACATGATGGCCGGTACATGATTTCGCTTTCACTGGTTAGAACAGACTCTGTGTGTGTGTGTGTGTGTGTGTGTGTGTGTGTGTGTGTGTGTGTGTGTGTGTGTGTGTGTGTGCAAAACTAACAACGTTGAAAACTTTCCATCTCTTCCTTTCAAAACCAGTGATACAATTCACATTTGTTGGAATACTGCTCGAGTCCACAGGCTGAACAGAGAAGCACAGGGAGAGGGAGACAGAGGAACAGACCACAGTGCCTTCTCTTGACGAGCCTGACGCCTGTTGCTATGCCGACCACAGAGAGAGGGAAATGGAAAGAGGAGGGAGGGAGAGAGAGAGAGAGCAGTTGAGCACAGAGACGAGCAGGGGAGGCAAAGTATGGACGCCAGCTTGAATTAAATTCTCCTCTCTCAGGTCAGGGTGATCGACAGGCAAACGGTCGCTGTGAAAAGGAGCAGAATGCCACAGAATGCCTCAAGGAGGATCGGGGAGGAAGAAAGCCCGATCCTCGAGGAGAAGGGCGGATATTCACCTTCTCAACTTGCTCATTTCAGACGCTTCACTGTCTCAGCATGACAGTGCCTCTTTCATCACATTCAGTGTGTAAGGGTGTGTATTAGTGGCTTGTTTGAGCAGAAACAAGTTCTCTCTTAATTGGCACTGTGCACTTCTTGCCAACAGTTGGCCAGCTAGAAAAATCTGTAACTAAGGAGAAGGAAGCTGAGCAATGATTTCTGCCTCCCCATTCAGCACTGGACAGAAGGGCTCATTATGAGGGAAATTCATATTCAGGCGAGGGCAAAACTGCACTCACTATAATAAATTGGATGGGAACACATACGTTTTGGTCCATGTAGTAAGTAATCACGCATCATGACAAAAACCACGATGCAAATATCTGCTGGAAAGCTGCAGGGCATCGGCCAATCACGCGCCTCTCTGAGCCGTCGTCAGTGTTATAAATAAGGATTGGACACTAACAGAGCAACGTGTGCGTGGGTGTGGTCCTCCGTTTATCTGCCTGTCTGTTGGCCTGTCTGTGGGTCCAACAAGTGAATCGGTTAGGTGTGAGGGGGGCGGGACTCAGCACAGTGAGGGAGGGGGGGGGGGGGGGGGGGGGGGGGGGAGAAGGTGGCAGGTGGAAGTCAGAGCAGAACAATTTAGCACAGTGGGAGTTGATGTGTGGAAGGGCATTGGGTACAAGGGTGGGGCCGGAGTGCGAGCAGGGATCACGGTTGTCAAGGAAACAGTAATTTGCCCCAAGCCTGGACCATACGCACGTAAACCCCCATGGCTCTCGCGTTGCTGTCATTTCCAATAGTAAAAATGATTCTAAATCTTGTGAGGCAGAGAGATACGTTTGGCCTTTACAAGGGATTACAGGTATTTTTTTTAGATAAAGGAAAGAGAACCGGGTGGGGGCAGCTGGAGCCAGGCCTAAGTAATTACTGCAACTGAGGATTCACAAGGGGGAGGTGGAGGGTGGGGGGAAGAAATGATCGATCGACAGAGGTGTGATCATTTTGTAATCTCCTTCTAACTCCTCCCAGTCCTACTTGCACTGCCAACCCCCAACCTCCCACGCCATCCATCTCCATCCTAACCCCGCCCCACCCCCTGCTCCCAGGACACAAACTCCCTGCCGGTCTGCTTGACCATCCATCCCTCCCTCTCACTTCTCCTCCTTGTTTGGCTCTTCCTTCTTCTCCTCCTCCTTCTTTTCCTCCTTCTTGGGCTCCTCTTTCTTCTTGTCGTCCTTCTTCTCCTCCTTCTTGCCATCGTCCTTCTTCTTCTCCTCCTTCTTCTTGTCGTCCTTCTTCTTGTCCTCCTTCTTGGGTTCCTCCTTCTTCTCCTCCTCGGGCATGGGCTCTGTGTTGAGGATCACTTTGCCGATGTTGTTCCTCTCTTGCATTTTTCTCATGGCATCGCCCACCTGGAGGGGGGATAGATGGAGAAAGAAGATTGCATACAGCGAGATTAAAGAGTGACGAGTGAAAGGAGGGCGAAGATGAATACACCTGTTATTATGAAAAATCCATTGAGCACACGCAGCAGTAACCAGCTTCTCCTCCCCCAACACATCTCAACTGCCATGTGAGCCTCCTTGCCTCCAGTGGTTTTGATAACAATGACTAGGAATACATTTTACAGACTCAAATATCACTTTAATACGTCGTATGTGAGACACCACATTTGGTTAGATGTATACGTTACGGAAATGAAATTGCAGCATAGCATAAATCAAAGACATGTGGTTTTGTTGTGTATAACAGATGAATTTAATTGCTTCAACCAGTCATCGTTGTTGACAGCTTATCAGCTAAACCCCCTCCATCATCCAATGATGGATCCACAGATGTGCTTCTGACTGACCTGAATCATAAGGAAGACAGGCGGATCACAGCCGGACCGACCCCGCCCTCCTCCTGACCACGATGCTCTGTCCGCTGTCTGATCCTGTCTCTATCGCTCCCCCCCTCCTCCCTCCGGCCTCCGATCCCCCACTTTGTGCGAGGCGGGCAGACCACCTAACAACCAATGCCACGGCAACAGGGCCTTCACCTAGCAACGTAAAGCCCCGGCTGAAACGTGGCACTGACAACTCGTACACACGGGAGAGCGGGTTAGTGTGGGGGTTTGAAGTGGAGGGGGGAGGGAACGAAGGGAGCAACTGGTGTCCTTCGGAGGAGAAACTGAAAGGGAGGGAGGGGTAAGGCCGGCGATGGCACGCATCATCTTCAACGCGAGTTGAAGAGTACCTGATCTCCATCCACCTTCATCCTTCACTCTCTGTCAACCCTGCTGGCTCCCAGGCATCTCGGACTAAGTGTGCTATTTGTGGCTGCACACCATTATCCTCCTGAGTATCATTGCAGATGTAGACAACCACGGAAAAACAAAAGCGGGAGGGGGGGGTGGCAATGCTTTTCCAAATGTTGTCCAAGCATGTTTATGGTTTATTGGAGCAAAAAGGAAGGGTGACAGAGCGTGAGGCAGGGGCACCGACGGATGGGGTCAGGGCGTGGCATTCGTGCTCGGCTTGTAATAATGGATCATTTATCTGAATAACCGTCACCTCCCAGCTGCTGGACTCGTGCGTGTACCGAAAACTTTCCACACCTGATTGCTTCAAGCCAAGACTGAAATACACCCTTTTTCTCTCTTCTCTCTCTTTTTTTCCCCCCGCGCTCCTTTCATGTCTCTTTCTCATACATCAGGGCCCCTCCCTAAGACAAACGCACACACTGACTAAAGGATGTCACCATAGCAACAAGAGAGAAAACGCAAAAAAGATGCACTGTGAGGGGCGGGGGGAGGAGAGACTATAGCAAAATGAAGAGACACAGAGAGAGGCAATAACCTTAAGACAGAGAGAACGTCTGATATGTACAGAGCAGACAGAAAGAGAGGCAGAGAAAGAGCGTCAGATGGCGGAGAAAGACAGAAGGTGTTTCTCTCTGGCTGCAGTAACACTTGCCAAAATACTGACCAGCTCGGACTCGGACAACAGAAGATGTCAGCCTCTGACTCCCTCTTTCTATCGCGTTTTTTTCTTCACACAGTCTATTCATATCTGTTAGCAGGGGTCATTTTGCCAGCAAACAGCTGACCGTGTCACTCTGGCTGAGTGAGTTATCCTCGAGGTGACACAGTGCTCCTTGTGGAAAGAACTTTGCCTGCGGACTGTTGAGCCTTATTAAATCAGGGGGCCACGCCCGCTCCTGCAGATCCCACTGCAGGAATCATGCGCACGCGGACCCACCTGGCACTCGCGTGAATTCGGGGCGACTGGCTTGTAAGCAAGTGATGTAAAAAAACAACGGATGTTGTTTACGTGCACATGCACACATGAACACAATGAATGAAGGTTTAATCACACTTACCAAGCACAGATGGATCTCAATCCCACATGCTTTGTAAGTGGGTTTCAAGACTAGCTGCATCAGTGGTGAATGGGGTGGATGATAAGGATATCATCTTCGGACATGAGCCCCTTTTTGACATGCACTAAAACCCGCAAATTATCTACACACCGACCAGAGGAGCAGTATGTGAAAACGCAAATGTACGGGAGAAGAAGAAGGGACACTTGGGACAAATCTACACTTTTGGCGGCCAAAATGGTTGCTTTGAATGCTTTTTGAAAAAAGTAGAGCGACTGTTCATGAGCAAATTACAAACTGGCCATGTTTTCGTTATCTTGACTGGCTCCCGCTCTGAGGGAGTACAGGGACCCAGCCTGCTGCATTCAGACACATTCCTGGTTCCTCACGTCAAAGGTTAAGGACACCACAGCAAGGCACGAACCTGCTCAAGGTGCCAAGTGGAGTCGATGCGGGGCTTGACCTTGCCCTGCTTGTAGAGATCCAGGATGGTGTTCATGGCCTGGGTGAGGAGCTCCGTCTCCCCGTCCAGGTAGCCCAGGTGGAAGCCGCACACTGACTTGTTCCCCTGGATCAGGCTGAGCGTGTGGATGGAGAACTGATGGTACCAGTTCTTGGCAACAGCAAGCAGGTTCTTCTTCTGGCCTGCTAGCATGTTGGATGCACCTGATGGAGACGGAGGGTGAAAGGAGAAAAAGCTCAATCTTCTCTCATGTTCTCAGGGTTTATTTTGAAAATCCTTACTTGATTTACTGCTGATGAGTCGATTAGAGGTCTGGTTCAACTTCTATCAAATTATCCGTCCCACTTCCTCGGTTTTCCCCTTTTTCTAATTTGATCATCAGCCTTTCTCATTTGGTGAAAAATATGCTTAATTGAACATTTACCACTTTTTGGTTTGTTTGTATATTTGACAGTTGAAAAAACAAGCAATCTGAGGAGATCATGTTGGGCCTTGGTGATGTCTGGTTATGGATCAAAAGAATGATTAATGATTTGGATCTTGAATCAACATTTAATCCGGTGCCTCTACTTGTTGGTTCTGGTTTTTACCTTCTCTCTCACACACCCCTGCACCTTCCGCGCTGGAAACCCTTTTAGCCCCTCGGCTCTCACTGTCCGCACATCCCCTTCCTATCCCCTCCGTCTCTCTGTGCAAATAGTCTGCTATGCTCTCACTGTTTCTGTGTGTCTCTCAGGGGAAGCAGGGGACACAAAGCCCGCTGTGAGGGAGTGCAGGGACCCGGCCTGCTACATTCAGACACATTCCTGGTTTCATGTGGACAGAATGCCCATTGTTCCGCCATGCATACTTCTGATAAGCTGGACGAGAAGCAACCAGCACAGAGGGATCGGGAGAGTGGGGTGGCAGGCTGGGGGGGGGGGGGGGGTGTTCTGCAGGGATGAGAGAGGATGAATGGGCAAGGGGTGGGGGGGGGGGGGGGGGGCACCATGCTGGGTAGTGGGTTTTTGTGCAAGACCCTGTTCTTCATGGATGCCGACCCCGCCCACTGTTGCATGCATGCCGGTTCCAGATTGGCATGGGCACAGAGCGAGCGTGAAGGCCTTCCCACAGGTCACACGCAGCACACTGAGAGCATGGAGCTCCACAGGGAGGTCATACAGCCCACCAGGAAGCAGCTCTATTCAGTGGACACCTACGTTTCATGTCGTAATTTACTCAGCATTTACACTCCAGGACCTCGTGGATCTTTACCAAGCCATCCAAATTGTCAAATGAAAAGCTGTAAAAAAATGAATAAATTCCTCCGCAGTTAAAATATTTTTGCTTTTGGAGATTGAGGCGTCATATTCATTGGTCTTAAAGGTTCTGTGTGGAAAACTGTTGACATTGGCTAACGTTCTGGCTCTTTTTTCATCTAATCGAATTGCTATTTCTGGAGTGGCTGTGTTAAATCACCCAGCTCTACACTGATAATGACGGATTTACACTCAGGAGTTCCACTACTTACCATAGGTGATGAGTTTGCCCATCGGCTTCAGCAGGTTGTAGGCCTTATGGGTGTCTGATCCTCCGAGAGGATCCAGAATTATGTCCATTCCTGGAGCAGAAGAGAGAGGAGCGGGACACTTATCACTGTTGTAAATGCAGCAAGGGCAGGTTGCCAGGTCGCCTCAGCCCCCCCCCCCGCCGCATGCCAGAGTTCACTAGGAGTAGTCGGGCCATGTTTACACCAAAGGAACACAAACGTATGTCAAGAGAAGAGGCGAGGAGGAGAGCTTGGTGAGAGCCCTGTTTTTTATTTTCTCATTCTTGTCACTGATAAGACAAGAGTGATAAAATGTCTCTCCGTCAATGACCAGTCCGTGGTCGAAGAGAATACCAAACCAACGTCGAGACAAATGGTCGAAAAATGGCAACTGAGCTGCAAACGTTTGTTTCTCTGCGGCTTATTTATGTATGGTCATGCAGGCTCGGCCTTAACAATGTCTCTTGGTGCCAGCAGGGACTTCTCAAATTGGGCAACCCCGTCCTTGCTGTCAGACCCGGCTTCTATTGATTGCGGGAGGCTCACAGCAGGACTCTGCCTTGACCACAGCACAGAGGAATTGACAGAGAGCCAAAGACAGAGGCAAAGGTAGCGAGCAGGGCTGCCCATCGATCCAGGCCTAATTAGATACATGCCGTCTAAAGCGTCAGTTCTCGCCGTCTCCCTATCCGTCTCCATAATGTCCGTCCGTCTCGCTCCACGCTACCAAGAACAGAGACGCGTTTGGAGAGGGGACTGTGAACATCAACATAATAACGTCTCCGTCCTGCTAGGAAATGGACATTGTTCCGTTTCGCTGAAAAGCAGCGTTTTTTTCCTCTCTCCATGCAACTTCAGTTACATTGTTAATGCCGAATTCAAGTGGGGACAGTTTAGGGAAATCAGTTTGCTCGGTGGACAGAATGACTCTGCGCTGTCAGTCTAGGGTGCACGGCGGCCAACTCGGCTGAGAATTGTGTCAAGTGAATGTCTCACTGTCTGCAGTTCGTGGGACACTAATCAGCTAATGTTGCTGCCGGACAGTAATGCTCGCTTTTTGCCAGCGGGAACACATTTTCAATATTTGCTTACGAAGCAGTGATAGCATATTCACATAAACCTTGATCATGGATACTTTGCACTGGTTCCTTGCGCAAACAAACTCCACCTTTAGAGCACTTATCTCAGTGCAGGAGTGTCTCACCTTTCGGGCTGATCTTGCGTACTTCCTCCACGTAGTCCTTGGTGCGATAGTCGATGGGATGCGTGACCCCACCCTGGCTGATGGTCTCGTGCTTGCTGGCGGATGCCGTACCGAACACAGTGACGTCCTTCACTGTGCTGCACAGCTGAGTGGCTGCGATACCTACACCACCTGAAAGGGGAGGGGCGGGGGTCGACAAAGGGTTGTGATTTTGTGAAAGAATGTGCATTTCAGGGCATGACTTGGGATCTATTGTACTGACATGCATTGAGCTCAACACAACGCCGGAATGAAATTCAACGGAGAGGCTTCCAAGAATTCACAGGTAAATGTGATTTATCGTCCCGAACAAGCAAGTCAATAACTGAGTGGGTATGAAAAGAATTCATTAAACACAATCACATTACCCGGGCTGGTCAGGAGAGAATAGTCGCCCACACACACACACACATATCCAACTCTGGAGAGTAGCCATTGTAGCTGAAATGACACATTGTATTTTTTGGGTTCCCTTATTCAAAACAACCTGCCTAAATCCCACAAGGACAGAAAAATGTAGCAGTGAGAGCGGGATGATAAACTCGTAACTTGTAACCTTGCCTCCTGAAAACAAAACCGTCACATTAACCGAGTTAATTTTTAAAGAGTAAGTGCTACGCGACTGTGTGCTCCAGTGGATGTTTCGGATGTCTGTGTTTGTGTAGTCCATTTATTTGAAAGTGTGTACATAGTTGGGGCACATAACTCAGGAGGTGTTTGCTTAAGGCCACCAAAGTAAGAAGTAATACGTTACTGATAAGCAGTGGATCTGAAATAGAGGCTGACTTAAGGACTTGAACCGAACGGCAGCCATAAAGGTCATTTATGTCCGACCAAGTAAAGAGCACGTCTTATCTCATACCGGAGAATGAAGCGGGACGGAAAACATTAGCAGTCACCTCCGTTTCATGATGCCGCAGCTGAGCTACCGGACCGCTGGACAGATTGATATCCAAACACAATGAGATTAAAAAGGCAGGTATGCCCATGCATGTTTGATTAGACTTGCACATAAGTCACTTAAGAAAAAGATGTATTGTTAATTCCATTCACATTTCGTAAATAAATAAATTCAAATGTGTTTTTTTAGCACTGGCACTAGGTTATTTTTTGACTATTTTGCAGTCATCATATAGTTGGGTGATTTGCTAATTTCCTTTAGGATATCAGATATCAAGGATATCAATGTCAGCATGATTATGTCAGTATACTGTATATTGTGTATGAGTAGAGGATTGATGACACAGATGCACCTCTGGACCCTTCAGCTCAACATACAAATTATTCTGAGCCATTGAACCATTCAAACAGGCCAATTTCCTCAATGACATCCTGGCAGTCAGTCTCTAAGGCTGCACTTTCACATAAAAACACCACTGACACCGGACAACAATGAATATTTGATTACAACGACAAATGAGATTAACTCAAAACCACATTATTCTCTTTATTCATTTCTGATCAGGAAATGCTCAGCATGAGAATGACAAAGAATTCATTTTAGGGCATTTTATTTGTACTAAGGGGCTGGTTTACAGAAAATTGTGCTTTGATAAAAAAAATACAAATAATTTGAATCCAACCCTTTTGCTGCCCTCAACTCCATCAGACAGAAAAGGTATTTCTGATTTGAGGCTCTCATATAATAACTGATAAATTGAACGCTACTATAATCACACATGACACTGGAGGGAGAATTGACGAGGAAATCAAGGCTGTTGCCTTCGGATGTGAGGGTTGTTGCGGCTGCGTCATAACAGCACGATCTCTCCTTGCCCTCAGTGAGAAACCAAGTTTGTGTTGCCAGGGAAACCTCTGCCAAATTGCAGGCAATGACTAAGCAAAGGGAGCCATTTTGTTACATTGGCTGCTCTTCCTTTGGTCACATAGGAGTCAATTGATGGCAATCACTGTTTATATTTGACAGACTGAATATCCAGTGTGTGTCAAGGCTTTTATTGTTCAGGATTTATAGCTTATTTAAAAAAAAAGGTACATCTGTCTGCCTTTGACACACACGTTTTTACACAAGCAAATAATTCATTGTTTATGAGGAGGTAGAAAATGTTGATTATGCAGCTTAAGAGCTGTTTTGGTACAAAGTGTGAAACAGGGTCACGCAGGATGACGCATCCATTAATCCCACGTTCTTACAACCAGGCACATATCGATATTTATCTAACGCCGCTTGGTTTCTGCTTTATTAAATCAGTGAGCATTGGTAAACAACGTTTGCTGAAATAGGTCTGTATTTCTAGAAACTGAATTTAAAAAACTACACAAAAGATTTACTTGCATTTTAAATAATCCTGTATTTCTTTGTTCAAAATATGGATGCATAAAAAACATTTGTCCAGTCAAATATTTAGTCCTAGGAAGGTACCTGTTTTTGAGCTCTCTGAGAAACAAACTCCTGATCTCCCGTCACAAGACTGCTAAGCTGTGCCAAGAACCCCTTACCGCTCCCCAAGTCACTTTGCAAATACACACACACACACATATAATCTTTATACGTACATCCACTGATCACAAGGCAGAGAGGACCTGCTCGTATCAGCTAATCTTCCCAAATATGCACAGAGAGTAAAATATTAACCTTTCATTAACCCAATGCTCCAGTTCCCGTTGTTTCCTTGGGGTCCTTATTTACAGCATAGTTACTTCCTAATACTAGACGCTAATTCTAAAGTGCACATGTTTCTCACATGTCAAACATTTATAGGATCCCCTCCCTTGGTAGGGGTTGAGTGATTTAAGACCACCCAAAAACACTTACTTACTAACCCGTTTTCCGCCAAGGAAAGAGCAGCTTTAGCAAATTCTAGCTGATAATTGCATTTGTTCTCCTCAACATTCAGCTGAATCGTTTACACTTGGAAATTCGAAAAACGTCAAAAAGCATCCCCCAATTTATTTTGTTTTTCTCTCTCTCGCTCTCTGCGGAGAAACAGGACACACTGCTGGGTTTTGTCTTCCCATAAACCCTTACGTACTCGCAATTTGGCACAAATTGCACTTGGCTAACACAACATGGCTGTTAGGAGTGAAGAGGAATTTTCTCCGAATCACAGCGGAATCCAGCCTGACACTGAGGCCACTGTTGTCGCTCTACAGCCAGAGCCCGACAGCATGAGGGGTGAAATGTTTGACGGATTAATACAATTAAAAAAAAAAAAATGGATCACAACAATGGCACTTATCCCAAATGAATACATCTCTGATTCTCTTCTAAATGAAAGAAGATCTCACTTTCGGAGCATTTCACCTGCTGGAGGCTGGCTGTGATCTCAGGTGCTGATCTCGGGGGACGGCGGGTTACAACATGTCTTCATTCAACACCGGAGAGACAACTGGTGCCTTGTCTTTGAACCCCCGTACGGTTTTCTGGATTGTGTTCCCTCAAGGACCTGGTCTTTCCATCATTAGCCTGCGGTGGAAGCGGCTGACAAAGAATGCGATACAAACGTGGACCCAAGCATCTCTTTTTACCCAAACTTGTGGTGGCCGAGTTACAACATCAACAAGCTGAACCAAATAAATGTTCTTTTTACTGCTACTTCTGCAGCTCTAATAGAGTCCTGTTTCTGTGAAAGGGGCTGTGGTGAGCCGTTTGTGGACGTTTGTTGAGGTATTACACTGTATTATGTAACCTTGGTTTTACTGGTATGACACACACACACTGAGGGCTTGAAGAGCAGCTTAATCTGCTCCCTCCGATGGTCAATTTTAGCTTTTTTGCAGCATAGAGAAGGCCCGTTTTTTAGTTAAATAGTAAATAGTAAAAAGGTCCTTTACTCGTGTGTGAAGGCACTAAACTAAAAAAAAAATCATTTGTTCTTAATGTGTATATTTCTTTTTTTTGTTGCATGAACATGGATGCAAAATGGAACGAAAAGTTGGGCCACCAGTTCAACGCAAACAGGTGTCCCGACACAGGTTTCACACCCACCTGCGAGTGTGTGTGTGGTGGTTGGGGTCGGGGGCGGGTGGATGGGGGTCATTTGTCAACGGCTGCAGCGCGAGCGAGCGATCCGATTGGTGGGTTAGGTTGGAGGTTGGCCTGGTTTCCCTCTCCTATCAGTGCAGCTGATCTGCCGGCGGCGACGCCAGCCTCGGGGAACACAGAGACGGTTCAACCACGCAGCCCAGACTCCCGCTTGGTGGTCAGACCGAATTAGCATTCTCAAAACTAGAGTAAGACCTCCCGAGCAGACAGCCGGGGAGGAGAGGCACTGTCAGACTTTCACCACGGCTCCCAGGAACAACGGGTCCATAAAAGAGAGAGACCTACATACACTTGAGCGAATACACTTTGTTTGCCGCTATATTTCATGTGCATTGAGTGAGAACAATAATCTTACTTTTTACCTACGGAGATCCGAGGAAGGACGAGATACATGGAAAGTTTCTTTACTCTTAAACAACGCGCATGTTTGTAACCTTCAAATATATTTTCTGCTTCAACTGTGATTCGCACTGGGGCTCACACGCCCCGAGGCCCTGCCTGCAGGTCTGACAGCAGTCATAAATATCTACACCAGAATGGGGCTCTTATTCTGCAAACCCAGGAGATCCAGCCACCTGTTCCTATTGCCTAAAGCATTTACAGCAGGCCTCTGACAGATGTTGAAGTCCTGCTCGTGTTTTGCATGGACAATGTCACGGGAACAAGGCAGGAAGTCTGCTGGTGAGCAAAAACGTTAGGTAGAAGATATCTTGATGTTATGGCCCATGAATTAAAAAGCGTTTCAGAGAACAATCCAATCACAAATTATGTTGTTATGTAAAATTGTCTGAAACATAAACATGTGGTATTGTAGAAACCTGAAGAAAACGTTAGGTAGTACAATTAATCGATGGCCTTTCATATTTAGGGTCAGTTTTGGATTAATTTGGCAACAATGGGGATTTAATGTTTCGCTATTGTAAAAGTGAATTATCCAGAGAGATCAATGTGAACCTTCTACACGCTTCATCACTGTGAAATATAATTTCTAAGAGACGCTTAAAGCGATACAAAAAACTGATGGCATTAAGGTAAAACTATAATGTCCTTAAAGTGCTTCATTTCAATGTTGAAAATGACTTTCAGAGCCAAAAGCCCACAGCCCGTCATTAACAAGCCGTAGCTGCTATCACCCTTCACTATATGTTGCACACACGTTGGAAGCCTCTCACACAACTGCTTCCAGAAAATCCTCAGAGAAACCTGGTGTAACTTTATCCTACACGGACACTCCAGCGAGAACCAGCTGTAAAAGTACAGTATCGAAGCCTGAATAATTGCTTTATGAAAAAACATCGGCCAGCTTAATATGCACCCAGTATGTGTCAAACCCCAAACACACTTATGTGGAACATTATGGGAATAAATGATTGAATAAATGTGTTATATCAGAAAACTAAGCACCTTAAAGTCTTAACGTCTTTCTGCTGTATCAGAGGATCCAGTAGGTCACAGACTGGGAGGTGGCTGAGGCCACGAGGCAAAATCATCAGAGGAATCGATGACACGGGTTCCCATTGCGCCACCTAATTTATATTATGCATTCCACATCTGCAACACAATGACTGACACTTGACGTTGGCCGTCAGCCACTTGAGAGCTCATAAATAAGGGAGGGGGGGGCGTCATTATTGGAAGCAGTGGAGACCCATATGTATGCAGGAATGCGTACCCGTGGGGTGTGGTGGGTCAGCGAGGGTTCATAAACATAAGGACCAGTTCCAGGAAGAGGTCGGAGGAAAGGCTGCTGGCACAGCGAAAGACCCCCGAGGTGCATCCAAATGTCACTGACCCCCCCCCCCCCCGCCCAAGAGCTCTGGGGAAAACAAAAGGAGAAACGTGCACTCGGTCCCCGATGGCGAGGACTCAAGCACGGATATTATGGGGAGGTCACGCCGGGGGGGGGGGTTACGGAGGGCGGGGGGGGCGGAGGATGCAGATGTGCAGTCCGTCGGAGAAGGGAGGCACGATCGGAGGAAATACAACAAGCTATTGTTTGGAGAGAGTGGACAGGAGCGGATCCACGGGAGAGGCAGCTGAGGATTATTCACACAGGCACGAGCAGTCAGGCGCACTGCGACGGTCATCTGATCAAAATGGGCAAAGGTCGGCTTTTGAGGAAATGGTGTCTTTACGGAGAGTTCTCGATGAGTTGACACGGCATTAACTGGCAGCTCGAAACCACGGAGAAGTGAAAGGGGAGAGGTTGCGTCTCTCATAAAGGACCAACAGATCTATATTATCATGCAATGAGCACAGCCGAAAAAGCAGTTTCTGTTTTGTTCCACAACAACCAACCATTAGTCCTCACTTTGACCACTTTTACACTTCTAAGACTATTAGACTTTGTTTTACATTTTAAGAAATGGGAGTTAGATTTGAGGATTCATACTCTCGTTCCTGTAAGTCCTGTATTTTGTTGGAGCCCGGAGCAGGTTAGCTTAGCACAACACCTGGAATCAAAGGGGAAGAATTAGCATGGCTCTGCCTGAAGCATTCAAGATGTTTTAATGAAAACATTCAGAAGGACAAAATTGCTCCTCCAAGAATATGTCTGTGGCTCCGGTTTGGTAATCATGATTACCAAAGAACAAACTCCAGACAGACTAAAATCTGACAAGTTGAAGTAAATCCGCTTAACCTCAAACTAATACTATGTGTGGTTGAATGGGGAGTTCACTGAAGCTGAAACAGAGTACTTGTTATTTACTGTTTCACAATCAAACCCCAATCCAGGCTCTGTGTTCTGATGTGTTAACTATAAGTAAAGCAACTCGTGAAAGCGTTTCAAACTGAAACAAGGATCCCTAAGGCGGTTCTCCACCTTTTCAAGTGATGGGTTACAGTCAAATAAATGCCACCAGGAATACAAAGAAATGATCTCAAATTAACTGCAAAAAGAGTATGTTGGTGAGGATGATTTCACATAATGTGTTTAATACTGGAACGCTTTGATCCGTTCACATTACACATGTGACCTGAGGATGGAAGGATGATGGATATTACACCAAACAGGGAGAGTATTCAATTTCATAATTGCAATATGTTATAATATTTCCAAAATAAGCAGTTCGCATTTAGTGAGGAATACAAGCCGTCCTGTGTGCAATTTCCTTCACGATATTAATAAACTATCAGACTGTATGGAAAGACAGGCAAAGCCACAATCTCACTTCCTCACTGGCACGGTCACAGCAAATGCGTTGGAGCTCTCCAATCAGAGAACATTATGGACCCCCCCCCCCCCCCCACACACACACCCACACTGGAGCCTGGAGCAGGGGGGGAGACATGCGTCCCCCCAACGGAGGGAGGGAAAGGAAGTGCACACCTCTCACATGTCTCCACCAAAGGTTCGCTGCTATTAAAAAGACAGCGTTATAACTGTGCACGCAGCGGCGTTGTACACCCTTCAGCGTGGTGATGATTCGCACAAAGATTGAGATGCAGCGAAACAGACTGTTGAGCAAATGTTTTTGTCATAGACTCGGCAAATGTGCTTTTAAAATACTGATGTCCAGACAGCTGGCAAGCAAAGACCGGCAGCATGCTCTCTGAGAAACCAGAGACTCTGCTTCCCCGAAAACCAGAGGGTGAAATCGTCTTACGCCACACTTCCACAGCATTCTTTTTCCAGAGCAGACACGGTCGGCACGGAGGAGCTGGAGTAAGATATGTGTTCGCAGAGACGAGTGTCGTCAGGCGTCAGCGGATGCAAACATTTAGGATTCTGCTGCAAACCACCAATCCCACAACTATGGGTGTGTTAGCCGCACTGGGAGAACTGCTCTGTTGAATGTTAATCTGACTCCATGTACGATTGAATTCCTCTTCAAAATGTGAATATCAGGGGATTTATCCACCCTGCAGCCTCGCGCAGCCTGTCCTGTTTATTTTTTTTTGCCTCATAAAGAGACAACGGGCTTGGGTTTCATTAAGTGCTTACATCTCTTATATCTACGCCCACACAATGTCCCAAATGCTGAGGGATCCCTTTTCTGACTCCCTCCGCACAGCCAGAGTTGGAACGAGAGGAAAAGTGAAAGCTGTACACATGCAGATAACGGCAGAGAGGCGGACACATTTTGGCTAATGCGCTCCCCATTCTCTCCAGCTGGCCTGGTTGTGTAAACACAGCAAAATCCAATGTTCCCTGGCTAGGTGCATCACACCCCAAAACAGGTGCTCTCACTCCCTCAGTCATCATCTTGCTCCCACCCTCTCAGTTTGTACTTTGACCTCACGGTCCAGGTGGCAGATGCTGCACTGTGTCATCCTACGGAGAGTGCAAAGCACTGAGCCATATCTCATGCTAATGCACGGTTGGGTCCTTCACCAGCAGCCATGATTCATATGGAAAAGAAATGCGTAAAAACAGGAGATGCACATATGGACAATGTCATGTTATTGGATATAATACAATTAGCAGGGTTCTGGACACTGAGTAGATTTTTCATTGCAGGACTACAACCTAAAGCACCAGTTATTTGTAGACTTTACAGTACACCGCAAAACCTTGTTTGCATTAGATTTGTGTTTGAATTATTGATACGTGTATAATTAATTCAAACATAATTTGAATGCATGACCTTTAAGTGAATAGTGTCGCATTCATTTCCAACCAAAGATGAACTAAATTAAACGGTTTTATGTGCGCTGTGTGATGGTGCCCATCTCCTTACCTGCAGCAGCATGAACCAGGACGCTTTGGTTGGGTCGCAGGTTGCCAAAGTCGAACAGCATCATGTAGGCAGTGATGTAGTTGACGGGGAGGGCTGCTGCCTCCTCAAAGCTCATGCCCTCTGGGATGAGGAAGGTGTGGGTTGCCGGGACCGCCGCCACCTCCTGCCACAAGCCGAAGCGGCTCAGCACCATCACCTTATCGCCGACCTGGAACACAAGACGCAGGAGGGATGAACAGGCGGTGAAGCAAAGGGTGCTCTGTTGGTGCAGTTACTGACAACATTTTAACCTAAAGTAATGGCAGAATCCCAAACCACGGGTATTCAAGCTCAAGCTAATATAATAGTTTGTTAAAAAATATAATTGAGACAATTATGACACCTCACATGGTCCAGTGGAAACAACGTGAGCCGTATAGTATAGTGTGGTTCACAAAGGATAGACATGCAAACGTGCTGCCACCTCGTCCACAAAACCTTTATTTGCTTTTAAAAAGTGAGAGCAAACAAGGAAAGTGGTAAACCACAGCTGAGTAAGATTAGTAACTTTTTTCTTTTTGCAAAACAAAACGAAGATGTTTTGGGGTTGATGATAGCTGTTCTATGAATATAAAAAATACAAGAATCCTTTCAGTCATTGCTTTCTTTCGTCAGTCCGAACAATGAGGAAGCTACAAACATCATTCAACGTGCTGCAAGTCACGACCACCATCGGGTCATTTTATGCTTCCAAAATGTTATCAGTGCAGGTTCCTCTGATTCACAAGCGTCAATGTAAACTTACCCCTCCAGCGCCTCACCAACCAATCAGGAGAGCCCGTAGAAGGGACACAGGAAACAGAGACGACTGCGGCGTTATGACTCTCTTCCTGTTTTCTTCCTCCCCCTCTATTCACCCCTGCCGACACAGATCACCCCCTCTGTCCCGTTTCCATTCTCCTCACTTTTTATCTTCCCTTCGCTCTCTTTCACTTCCTGTCTCCCTTTCCTCTTACAACTTTAAAACGTCTTCCTTCCCCTTCTCTAGTCATCCGTCTCGTTCTGTCTGCGTCTGGATCTTGCCGCCTCCTTCGACACTCCTTCGTCACTTTGCCTCACTGCATCTTCCCCCTCGTCTGTCGCGTTCCGTCCTCGCCGTCCTCTTTCTTTTCTCCTGCAAGGAGTGTCCCGTGTCACTTCTTCCTCATCAGTGAGACAGGACAATGGGACCCATCTTCTCCCCTGGCGTCCCTCCACTCATCAAGAGTCCCTGCCAGATTCTTCCCCATGGCTGAGCATAAGACAAGCTCTCTCCTCCTGGGAACAAACCCTCTCCCCCCGGGCCTCTCTAATGGTCTGCAGGGAGCAATGCGCCGCGCTGTCTATCCACTCCAATTAGAGAGATTTCCTTCTCCCCCCCCCCCCCCCTCCGTTTGATACACATCTTTCTGTCTGAGGCCTTGGCCTTTCAAAATATATTTTCCCTTTTCCATCATTGTCTTCTTCTCTTTCCTCCTCTTGGTCATGACTCTCCGTCGCTCATGTCCATCTGTGACCCCCCCTCTTTTTTGAGTCCTCAAACTCATCAGGCTCGTGGGTTTGATTGGGGGGGTACAGAGTGGCACAAATGGAAGGACGGGGGAGTGCGGGCTTGTAAAGGAAACACACAGATATGACTCAGACATCACTTTCGCGTTCATCGGCAGCTATTATTCTCCTTCCACGTAAAGCATGTGAGTTACTGTCACATAGAGTCGAAGTAGAAACATCCGAGGCCACGCGAGCGAGCCTTGTGACAGCTCTGTTGCAACATCTTCACAGTGTGACACACACACACACACACACACACACACACACACACTTGCACTTCTCTTGCATTTCCTTTCTCTGCCTTCATGACACTGCATCAAATGTAGTCACTGTTGGGGTCAGGATTGGGGGGGAGCGCTGAACAAAGACACTTCCAGTAAACTGTACATGAATGGACTTAATCAGATGGTGTTTCAATTTCTGGGTGCGCAGGCCTCCAAGTCAGCTGCTTTGTGGCTTTGAATTTTGATGATCTCAGCCAGAATGCACCGGGGGGGGGAAACGTATTGAACTAGATTCCTGCTCCTATAAGTCACGATGGGGCAAAAGATGGAAGGTTAAATGTGACACCCACACAGCCTGCGTGGCGCCTTTAAAAGTAATGAAAATAAAACATAATACCTCCCCTGGGTCAGCGTAGGTGTTGCGGTGCTTTGACACAGTTTGTGTGATGTCGGCTGTGGGCCACGCCCTGCTCTCACATACGGCATAATCGGTGACAAGAGGCTCTTTGTGCCGCTTTTCGCACTTGACTGCAGCCCTGACTGTGCAAACCAGCACGTCGTGCTTACAAAATACCATTATTCTGCATCACCTTTTTGCATCTCCATGAACATTAGAATCCTTAATGAGCAACTCTACGGAGGACGAAAAATCGAGACATCTCATCGTTATTTTACCGCAGCCGTTTAAACAGTCAATATGCCGTATATCTCGGGAGAGCAAGCTCTTAATGTTGCATTCAAGGTGACATGTAGGATGAAAGAGGAAGCTATAGATTTCTGTAAAAGGGGAGGATGGCAACACAAAGGCAGCGCAGCATGGCGGGCTTCATCGACAGCGGAAGGACCAATAGATTATACGAAGGAAGGAGAGATAGTTAGAGGGAGGAATGGAGGAAATACCAGACAGACAATGTGGGCCAGAGGGAGGTAATTGAGAACATATGGGTCGGATCCGAACAAAACTGAACGATTAAAAAAGTGCATCAGGAGACAGAAAAAGGGTTGATGTTTTGTATGAGGCGCGCATCAGTGTGATTTGTAATATTTCCCATCTTGCCTCTCTTACTCGGTGTTACGCTTTCCCTCGCCTCACTCTCAGGTCATTTCGGGTGAGGGCTCTAGCATTACTTAATTTAACGTGATTGGTTTTTTTTGCACAGACGTTGTTGAAACATAATACGGGGCATGCAGTGAATAATAAATACAAATAAAAACACAAGAGTAAGCAAGCAGCATTTCAATAAACAAGATAAAGATGGTGACCAGGGAGCAATAATGGTGCAATAAGTGCTGCCTTTGTCGACGTTAAGTATGCTGGTTGTTTCTTCTTAATTGTTTCCAGTCAGGAGTTATGATATCGGAAATATCATAAATATAATGTGTTTTGTCAAAATATTTGAGACATTTTTCCACAGTTCTCAAATGCTTCTATAAGAACGTGCATCCAAATGAGATTGTGAGGAAGGCTAAAATAGCCGTAGCCTGTAAGTTAACTATGAGACACACCCATTTTCTGTTTGTCTTTGTGTGCACGGATACAGAGCTGCAGTGAGCGATGAGCCTCCTTAAAATGATGTGTCATCAGGTCAGCGTTTTGAGTTGGGTGCCAAAAGAGCTCAGAGATCTAAATCCATAGGAAGATTTGCTCTTAATTCTATAAACTAAGTGCTGTAAAAGGATGCGGGGGGGTCAAGCCTTAATGGCAAGATGTGCGCTTGTGTAACTCATGACCTTTTAATCCAATCTACACCACTGACAATAAGGAAATGAGCTGTTATGAAGTTTGGAAACACAAGTGTCTTAACCTTCTAGGATGCGTGGCTGCCATTGGCTGGCCTTCTGCCAGTCATTGTACCATGCACAGAGTCCCCATCTGTAAGGACTTGGCATTTGTGCCACTCCTCCCAACACCGATGCTGCACTTGCCTCACACATCTGATCAGCCTGATGTTGTCCACGAATATTAACCACTGGCCCGGTGTGAGAATATGTGGTGCTCTTACAACAAACGGCGTGACTCATCACCGGCTCATGTTTGTTATAATGCTTTGTCTATTAATCCCTTGAAAAAAAAGGCGTTACCATGGTGATGCCACGCAGCTAGGTGACAGACATATAGACCCCGTGAATCATGCAATAAATAAACCGCCACTTCATTCCTGGCTCGACCAGAATTTTTTTAATTGACTTAGGTTCATTGTGTGTTTTTAAACTTTTGTTGGCGATGTTGTACATTTGTGACAGTAAACATTGTCTGAACACAAGTGAGGCGACAGAAGAAGAGGGCGAGTGCATCCATCCCTCCAGCGGGCTGTGCGCCGCGCCGCGCCCTTTCTGCTCGGAGAGTCTGTGCGCCACCGTCGCAGCCGGTAACAAAAGGCGTCGGTGACTGCCACCCCGGTCAAGTCAGCCATACTAATAGCTGTGGCATCAACAAAAACAAAAACCCCAGTTATGGATGACAGGAGTGGCATACTTGTACAAAAGGTCCTTTTGGTATTTTATTTTTCACCCAAACCGTAATTTGCACAAAATGCATTGAGAGCCGTAAAGCCCTTAAATCTCAGGGACGTGGACGTCAGATAATCGTAAATGTTGCTCGGTCAGTGCGCTGAGATGTTTGAGATAGTCATAACTGTTTTTTCCTCGATTTTCTATTATTATATATGTTTTTATTTCAGCTCAATTTGCAACGGATACACGGCCAAATTTACCCTCGTGCAAGTGTTTAAAGCTTTAATTTTGAAGGCAGTGAAGAGCTCATATCCGGTCTCATAGTGGCCATCTCTGGCTGACTTGACGCAGCTCCCTGCGCCTTGGCACACATCAAAGCGCAGTACAGCGTAGGTGCGGAGAGGATGGAAACCATCCTGCGGGATTGAATTTGTTTATTTAAACTATAGACTTACGACAGGTATGTTGCACAATGAAAAATGTATCAATCCCAGCAAATATTTGGGACTTTAAGTTGCTGCATCAAAGTGCGCACAGTTCAGCGCAATTTAAAAACCGCGGAGACAAGAGGGGCAACGCCTGCGTCTGACTTCATTGTACTCAACTCGCATCATTACACATCTTCTACGGAGGGAAATACGACATGAAAACAATTCATCCACTTTGAGAGGAATGCCGTCTCTTTACGCGCGGGCGAATGAATGGACGAGCCCCGATAACAGCTCGAATACAAACTATTTATCCATATGTATTACCAACATACCACTGTGTTAAATACCCAAATAGCCTATTGTCATTAAAGTCATGAAACTGCACAGCACGTTGCCCACAACTATACCACCGGCGAGCACAGCCTGACACGCCCTTACCCAGACGATGGAGTTGATCACCAAAAAACCCAAGCAAGGCCAATATTCATCACTGAGACAATAAGACACGCACAGTAAAATGAGGTTTAAAGCACACACACACTAAGATAACACACAGAGAGCTTACTTTTCTATCCGTCACTTCTTCCCCTACAGCCTCCACCACCCCGGAGCACTCCATCCCCGGGGTGACCGGCGGGGACGGCAGCCGGTCGTACAGCCCCTGCCGAGCCATCAGGTCGGCGAAGTTGAGCCCGCACGCCTTGACCCGCACCAGGACCTCGCCGGCCTTGAGCGCAGGCTTGCCCTTCTTCACTTGCAGCTTGACTTTATCATAGCCCCCGTAGCCGGTGAGCACCAGAGCGCGGTAGGTGAACGTGTCCTCTTCGGGGACCTTCTCGGTGGTCGCCGCCGGGGTGGCGGCGGCGGCGGCGGCATCGGCGTCGGCGGCAGCGGCGGCGGCGGCGGGTGCCGGCTCGGTCTTGGGCGGCTCAGCTTTGGGCTCCTCGGCGGGTTTGGTCTCCTGCTTCTGGTCCACGGCGTTTTGCTGCTGCTCGGCAGGTGCGTCTTCTCCAGACATTGTGCAGGGCGGTGAAAGACAGTGGCGCGTCTGGAAAAATGACTCAAGGGCTCTTTTTGTTTGTTTGTTTGGTACTTCTTGCAGGTTCGCTTGCCGGGGACGGACTTGCTGCGTTATCGCGTGTGCTCGACGTTGTTAATGAGAGACAGTGCGCAGAGTACGAGCGTCTTTTCCAGCAGTCTTGTATGGAGACACAAACCCCGACAAAGTGCGCTGCTCGGTGGCCGGTGTAAGTGTCGACACGGAGTTGGAGTGGGACGAGACTGAGGCGGACTGGAAAACGCGGAGAGCTGTGGGGGCGCGGGGATTGGCGCATGCATGCGATTGGGCGTGTTGGGCTGTCTGGGTATAGGTCTATAAAATAAGCCCATATGTTGCATCCAGCAGCTCGGTGATTTGCAAAACGGTCAATTATAAGCTCAGCCGGCAAATCTGGGGATTTCTGCAAGATCTCCGGATCTTAAAACAGTGGCGACTCAAATGAGGGGGCCGCAGAGAGGGATTCTGTTGGAGACAATGAATCGCTGTAAACTGTAGATTATTTTTTTCATTTTCCAGCTGACTGTGACATTGTTTTGTACCCCATGAGATGAAATGGGAAGCACCTCATCATCAACACATATTGGCTTTATTTGTCTGTTTGCTGCTGCTTGGTTAACAGTGAGGTGCGTGGTGCTGGAACAGCAGGAGCCGGAGGAAATGTCTGTTTATGCTACCTATTCTACAGTGGGATTTGCAGGAACTTTGGGCCTGCGTAGTGCTCATTGTTTTAACTTCCCTGAGCAGGCAGCTCACAAAAAATATGAGCTTGTTTTGAGGTCACGCCAGCTTCTGATTAAACGATACAACCTGCTTTGTATTATTCAGCTTTACTTCATGGTCAGGATGACCTCTCCATTAAACATGGTAAAGGACCATAATCCTCCAGGGTCCTGGTGGATTGTGTGATTGGAACAAATAGCTTTAAGTTCACAGATAACTGTTCACGACAGCTAATACCTCACAAAGGAACCAGGATGCGTTCACATTCTCCACTGAGACAAACCCAATGACCAGAGAGATTCCACCGCAACAGGAGTGGGGAGACACCTTGTGGCCGTAAAGAGCCACTCAGCACTTCTGGGGCCAAAGCGAGCAGTGTCTCAATGCACATACCACGGGGTTTACAGGCCTCATTGATCTGCTGCTTTGACATGGGGGAAACGATACGAGCGACCACACCGAGCCACTCTTAAGGTACATCAGTATGCTGTGGGTGCTTCTCCTCAATTAGCGCTGACAGGAGTAGTATGATAATGTAGCAGCAAAGGAGAGTCAGGGAAATCACTTGGCCTGCAGGTTGGAATGTGGGGAAAAAAAGGAATTCGGAGTGGCGCTCAATGGAATAGTGTTCTATAGTTTCACTGTGAAGCCGAGAAGGAAACTTCCGAACACGGTCCAGCAGCTTGACAATTTTTGAAAATGTATCTATCACAAAAAGTTCCTGCAGTTAAAGAAACAGGGATTGGAGTCAGGGACAGAGACGTATTGCCTTGGACACCTGGTGTAGTTGGGAGACCTCCTCTGTTGTCAATGCATGATGTAGCTCCGTGGTGTAATTTGGCCTGGATGAAGTACCGTGTCAGGCAAGTACAGTCTGGACGGAGTCTGCACCATCTCGGAGGATGAGTGTGGCTGAAATACAAACTTGTATCTATTGATAATAGAACCCTCTAAATGTATTTGTCCGTGCATTGTTACAAATCCGGGTGCAAGATTGGGAATCGCTTTCAGCGCTGCTGTTATGCCCAAACCAGTTGCCTTAACACTTGATACGTTGCCTTAATCTTGATACGTACTTCTTGCATTCATACCAAAGGGGCCTCACTGCTTTCAATATCTGTCTTCATCTTATCAAACCTATACTGCATTGGGAAAAAAACAAATCTGTAGTCTCAGGGTTGCAGTATTAAGTGCCAATATGCATTATATTTGCTAAAGTAATTTGTTAAAATTAAAATGCTGTTTGGAAGACTTGTTTGCCAGTGCATACGGGCTCCTTGGCAACTCAACCTCTGGCCGTTTATTTATTTAATCTACTTTCTTGTTCAGCAATCTGCTGCGTGCATCTTTTCTTTGTTCCTGGGTGCAATTAGTTCAGTGGTTCTCAAAAAAGTAAATAAATAACTTTGTCAGCTCTGAACAGGCTGTCAAACTAATTTATATTTAATGCCCTTTTGAATTCCAAAAAACATATTTTAGGGGTAAAAATTAGATTAGATTCAACTTTATTGTCATTGCACAGAGTACTGAGGCAACGAAATACAGTTTAACATCCAAAAAAAAAGTGCAAAATAGCAAAAAGTGCAGAGTATGTGCATATGTAAAGTGTAATAAGTGAATAAATAGATATGTACAGTAAGAAATAGTTATGCAATATGTACAGTAAGAAATAGTTATGCAATATGAACAGTAAGAAATGGATATACAATAACAGTTCATTTCTCACTGTTCATATTGCACAAAATTGTACATTATTGTTAAAATGTATAGTTATCCATTATACTTTTCAGATAAGAATTTTACAATAGTAAAGATATGTTTATAATATGTAGGGCTTTTGTGTTATCTTCTTTTGAACTATTAAACTATAGTGAAATGTTTTTATTTATACTAGTAAATTGCTGCTAATCAATATGAACAATGAATATTTTCTTCATATTTATACTTACTCTTTATTAAGTGTTTATTTTTACTCAGCCGATGGAAATGAGTCCTGCTACCACCAGGGCACCAACAATCCAACCACATCACAAACCATTGGCAACTAAATCAAACTGTATAAATAACAGTTTTGAAAGCGTATTTTCTTTTTTTATACGAGACCTGCTCATCTAGCTATTGTTTCCTAAATACCACTTTAACTTTCTACTTCCAAAGTGAATAGCATGTCATTTCAATTGGTGTCCAGGAGGCGGCGGTATCGATCTTCGGGGGAAACAACATGACTCAGTGTTCGTCTGGCGCGTGGTGCCAAGTCATCTAATTATCTCATTCACAAAACCAATAACTCCTCAGTGGGGCACTTACAAGGATCAAGTGCTCCATGCAAGGCTGCGAGCCTCATAAAGGCTGACCAGTCAGCTCCAACTACTTAATTTGATGGACTATTTTATCTCAGTCTATCTAAGCATTTATTGTATCTCTATTAGGAGGTCATGCTGGCACTATATCTATATATATATATATATATATATATTATGTGTCTTATTTACCCCGCTTTCCAAAGTGTGTTCATAAAATATTTATTCATAGTGGGATAAACAGACAACTCTGTATTGAAACTAATGTTGAAGCTACTTAAAAGCCTATTTACGGAACATGAATTACTTATTTTAACTACTTAAAGGAGAATGCACTGAATTAAAAAACTTCCATCTCTTTCGTCCTCCCTGTCCTCAGAGCATCAAACTATCCAGTACTGACCCAACCCGATCACATATTTTCAGTAATAACTATTTGGTCAATAAATCACTGATTTCAACCACGGACACGAAATGTCTAGTGCAGTAACTGGTTTGACCTTTAAAATAATATCTGGCCCGGTGGTTAATTGCTGTCCTTAGTTCTTGTATAGGGAGTCAAATACAAAGTGTAATTCATATAATTAAATATCATGTTAGTATGTGCAGGGTCCAAATACACGCACTGACTCTTGTCCCACAGACGCAAGAAGACGTTATGAAAAATGATTCCCAATAAAGACGCACAGCCAGAGAACGAACTCCCGAAGCACAACAATATAGTCTTATAACGAAGATATTACAAGCATATATAAGGAGACAAAAACAACGCGCGCATGACACATCAGAGCGAACCTATTACAGCTGAGTGATGAGGTGCACGCGTGCACGTTAGGAAGGCGTGGCCAGCGACCAAACCGCCGGAGTTTCCAGGCGGCTGTGCGCGTCCCTTCGTGTGGTTTCGGTCGGTCGGTCAGTCATCCACACAGACCGTCTATCAGCCGGACCCGGGGAGCTGCGCGTAAGAGGGACGCAGCTGGATAAAGCGCACCGGGGGGGAGGTGGGCGGCGTCGGAGGGTCGGCGCTTGTATTTGCTTCTGTTCCGCTGCGCCTCGGTACGCTGGATACTGGATGCAATCCATCCGCGTGTCAACAGCACACCTCCGACGGACGAGCCATGGACGGTCTGGGCAGCCGCTGTAAGATTGTGGTGGTCGGGGACACGCAATGTGGGAAGACGGCACTCCTGCACGTTTTTGCCAAGGACTGCTATCCGGAGGTAGGTCCATATCAAAAGTCTGGAGTAACAAGCAATTCAACTTCAGGACGCGTTCAGCAGGTTACGTCCACCTGCCCAAAGACAGAACTGTTAAATCAACAAAGTGCTTTTTGGAGACAGAACTATGATGAAATGCCTGTAAAATCTCTGTTATTAAGTGGACTAAATTGACTTTTATTGTGTCTGCTATTTGTTTAAAACTTTAAAGCGTTATCTTCATCTGTCTTCATTTCATTATTATATTTCTAAAATATCCACAATTGAAGTACATGACTTGCTCTTATGCCATTATATTTGCTACATCATTTCAAATGTCGTTTCTTCACCAGACTTCTCCTCTGCAGCTTGTGGCTGTGTAAACACACGCTTATCTCCTCCGTCTTAATTGGATAACTGAAATAAATCCCTTATTTCCAGAACTACGTGCCGACGGTGTTTGAAAACTACACTCCCAGTTTTGAGATAGACAAGCACCGGATAGAGCTGAATATGTGGGACACGTCAGGTAAGACAATTTCATGACTCCGTCCGCACGCACAACCCTCTGCCCCCCCCCCCACCGTGGGAGGATTGCTGGCAAAGCCTCTCTCTCCAAAGTCGTCTCCGAGACAAATTGCTTTGACCTTGCCAACTCCAGAGGGATGTATTTTGTTTTTCTAGATTTTAGAATCGGCATCTGTTACCCATGCTTGTTGTCTTTTATCTCCTCCACCGTGCTGTCCAAGGTGTGTGTGTGTGTGTGGCGGGCTCTTCCCGTGCTCTGACCCCGTCAGGCGCCTGCTGGGGGGGGGGGGGGGGTATAGGATGAGGGCGAGGATAATTGAGACAGGATGGGCCTGAAGGGACCATTAACTGCCCTAAATGTGTTAGTGTGATGAAATGAGGTTTGCTGACATGTGGGAGATGTCGTGTTTGGTTTCCTTTGTCAGCTCTGAAATGAAGTTGTATTCCCTTTACGAATTTGTTAAAGAATGGTTAACATAGAGAGGGCGGTGTTCCTGGAGTTCGCACTGCTGACCTCATAGTCCCATATCCTTTAAATAATTGAATTTAGGAAGAGTCCTTCTCAGATTCATTTATCAAGGTCTCAATTTATAGTTTTAGTGACTTCTGTTGTTTGAGGAGCTTTTCTCAACCTGAATAAAATCCCCACTCGTTCAAAAATGTCAAATTTAAACATGTTGTTACACAAAATGGAATTCACTGCGGACGATGTCGACAGAAAGGAATCCACCTCGGCAGCGTGGTGTCATCGGCCCGGGAAATTTCCTGGACGACTTATCGTCCCCGCTTTGTCATGTGACTGAGCGTCTGTGTGATTGGGCTTCAGTGAGGGAATTTGCTTCTCGCTAAGGAAGACGTTCATGGCCCCGCGCTGCCAGGACAAGTCCCGCGTCTGCTCTAAAGCCCACTCGGTCGGCATGAAGGGATTAACCGCTCTGTGCTACCCGCAGATCTGCGGCTCATCACTGTCATCTCAGGCTGCAGCCGTCTGACCGGCGACACGGTCGGCCAGTCACAGGACTCAATAAGGAATCTCCGCGATAAACATTCCCAAACATAAAACTAAAACCATCGTCCAGAAGAAATGATGGGAGTATTTTGTGTCACGTGGCCCGTCAGTGGAAGAATGTTGTTTTTTCTTTGGACCCCGTGTCCACGCGGGGAGTAAATCTGCTTGAGCCTGTCAGTCGGGGGTCAGGGTCCCCTGGGGCCCGGGGCAACAACTTAGGAGAGTTCCTTATCTCTGGGCTGGAGGAGCCTAATGATGTCGTGGGAGTGTTGTGCTTCTGTCCATCTTAAAAAAAACCAAACCACCTTTGGCAGCGTTGGTCTTTAATCTTCACCCGGGAGCCGCCCACCCCACAACAAACACGTCGTCACCCAAAGCCACGGGGCAAACGTGTGTTTGGTAACGTGTGCTCCTGTATGTGTGTGTGTGTGTGTGTGTTTAGAAGGTCTTCTGTGCAACGCCATTTTTCTCCGATTCAGAGCAAACACTGATGTTCATATTTTCTCTCAACAAGAAAAATAATTGGCTCGCACTGAAAAAACGCTTCCATCTGAAGAAAATAGTATGTCTCCCATGGCTTTTGGATTCTGATTTGTTTATTGCCACTCTCCTGCCCCTTTCTAGCGTTGTTGTGATTATTTCTTTCATGTTCACCAGCACCACAAATTCAGCGCTGAGGCTCTCAAGCATGGTACCACCATAATTTACTGAGAAACCATTTTATTTCAATGTAATCGCTGCGATTAGTGGATTTACGCCTGGCGGGAAGGTGTGTGGGCCGCTTGCAAGCCGTCAGACGGTTCCGACCTTTTCAGAGACCCAAATGGAGGAACTTATCTGTTGTTGTTGTTGTTGTTGAGTGCCGGTAGAGCAGCGATGCCCACGGAGCTTTTCCCTTTTCATACGTTTTGCCTTTCATCAACCAGCCACAACGTCACCAACACGTCACTACCTGCTATTTTGAGAAGAAATGAATCTGCGTCTTATGGGAGGCTGCAGTCTACAGCACCCGGGACAGTTGTGTCAATCAATTGCTTTTCTTAAGACCCCCCCCCCCCCCCTCCCCTGGATATAGTTACTTATTTATTTTCTAAACACCAAGTTTTGTAAATATTGCCGCCGTTTTAATTGAGGGTGGCGCCGGCCTGCGGTGGTCTGGCTCCGTTCACACAGCGATATGGATTTCTTTCCTCGGCCCGGCTATTCAAAGAGCTTGCGTCTCCTTTCCTCGGAAAAATGCTCCCGGCTCTTGCTGCTGTTGTTGTTAGGCTGGTGTCATCAAACCGGTTCTTCCACAAGGACCAGCCCTTGAGGATGGGTGGGAACCGCGGTGAGGTATTTATCGAAATTGAGGTCATTACCGAGCGTAAATGTGCACGACACAGTAATAGACGGTCTGTTTCAGGCGTTGCGTGCGTTCGTAACCTAATGGAGCTTTTAAAGGGGTGCAGGCTGTTAAGTGGTCACAATGTCAATGTGTCTCGGTGATAGCTTGTCTCGGAGTCATTAGTGATTCCCGCGGACGCTCGCGGGCTCACTGGTAGTCAGCCGGTCAGGGGTTTCACAGAGCCTGAGGCACGACTGCATTCCTCCCTTCCACCCGATATGGAAAGGGTTCCTGGGAAAGATTCCCGGTAGAATAATACCCCGCTAAGAGGCATGCTGTTCCTCAGCAGAGCAAGTCATGACAGCCCGGGTTTCCCCAAAGTTCTTACAGTACACTCACGTCTCTTTGCTTTTCCCCTCTGCGCCGCCTCTCTGATGCCTTCCCTGATTCTCACATGAAACTGGAACTCTTACTTTCTGTTCAGTCATGCTCCAGTGTGCTTTCAAGTGGCTCTCCCCAGGAATCTTGTTTTGCTTTCTTCTTTTGTTGAAATCTTTCCTACGAATCGCTCGCTCTGTGGTTCCCCCTCCTCTGCACTTCCCAGAGACCGCCTGGTCATTCAAGCATCACTGTTGTCCAGAGATGTTTTTGTCAGTGTAATGAGTTTTTGTTGAGGTTCTTTGGCTGATTAGCGATGTTGGTTTCAGTTTCCCTATTTTTTTTTTTCCCCCCATCCATTTATTTCCAAACAAAGTGCTGCCGCCGCCGCTGGGAACATGAAACGCATCACTTGCTGTGCAGTGAAATGTAAAAGCTTCCATGAACTGGCCACATTCGGCGTGACGCACTTGTGTGGTAAACAGTCAATAACAGAGCACAAAGAAAATGTTTTCATCTGAAAATGTCACAAATATCAAGATATTTCTTTGAATAAAACTTTTCCACAGTGTTCAGAGCCACATTTTATGTTGAATCCGCTCGCTTAATGTTTTTATTTTTGGATTATTTCTCAAGGCTGTTTTGACTTTTCGCAGTCGGAGTTGTGATTGCTTTTGACTCGAGACGACAACACGACACTGCGAGTGTGCAACGCACGTCCCATGCCGGCCCTCGCTCTGCGTCACAGTCTGGCTGTCTCGCTTCTCTCTAACGGACCGTCCGACATTCCCAGAGTCTTCTCTGCAAAAACTCCACATTCTCAGCGCAGTGGACCAGCAGGGCATCCAGAGGCCCGTAAAAACACGCCGAGTTCAGCGGGCTTCCTATTCTTCAAGCCTTTACGCTATATTAATCTTTAATAGTGAGTGAGTGAGCTGCAGCCACGATGCAGAGTACACAAACTTTCACTGAAGCCAGAGAACGCTCAGGAAAAGGGCTGTCTGACCCGAGTAGCGACGGCACTGATCGCGGGAGATAACGCGATTGTTGAGTTTGTTCGTAATGTCACCTCTACTTTAAATAATTAAAAAAACAAACATTTCTTTCTCTTTTCTCTAATCTACAATTAAAGAATTAGATTACGTTTAGGTGGCTGCAACTCACTGGTGAGGGAGCGGATTATTTAACCAGAGACTGTAATTGTACCTTTTATGTTTATTTTTGTCAGCATCCTCCAAAGGGAGGATGACAAAAACCCCTGCAACGTCTGTTCACACAATGGAACGCATGCACAAAGCCTGAGCCCTGAAAGGTGCATTACAAGTTGTTCCCAGTCTTCACCCAACCAGCCCAGGGCAATAACTGCCTAAATGAAACCTGTATTGATGATGCATAGCGGGCTGGAAGGCACTCCCCTGCACTGGGGAAGAACTGGTGCATGACATATTTGGGTAATGCGTAATCAGATGCTAGTGCATGCTGTTGAAATACTGTAATTTAAGGAAATTAAACAAACAAACACATTTGATTAATTTAGAAAAACTGCCTTTACTCAAATGTTGGTTCATTTGCTTCCCTCCTTCCAGACAGAAGTGGAAAACACCCCAAAACACTCAGTTTACAATAATATGAAAAAGAAAATGTAATTTCATTCATTTAGGATGATCGAAACAGAGACTTTGTAAATGAAAGAAAATTACAAGATTCCCTAACTAATGAATGGACTAATTGTCACATCGATATGTTCTTACATTTCTTAGTTGTTTACACAGTTATTGGACTTGTTGGATTTGGAGAGGTTGGCACTTGGGCCTTTGGTCCAGGTCGCCCTCCCATAGACCGTTACTGGTACAGTCACAATTTTTGGACAGAGTGGGTAAAGTTCTTGACAGAAAAATGGTTGAGAACGTATTCTGGCTTCTCCACGACGCTCACCCCCCCTGGTCGAGCCTGCAGCCTCTCTAGCAGCCTGCGGCCGATAATCCCGGGGATTACAGTTAATGGTTGGAGCCCACAAAGCGATTTGCATATTAGAAACTTAACAGCAAGAGCTGTGTGTGGTGAAGTAATTGTGCAGACTTTAATTGTATAATAGTGTGAATTTAACAACATACCTCACATTTTACAGCCACAGATTTTAGTGACTTTTGAACTGATTACTCCCATGATCAGGAATAACAAGCCCGTGTTACATACGAATGAATACATTTCAATTTAAAAGAAAAATGTCACCAAGTGCCTGAAAAGTCCTGGTTTTCCTTTCAGCAAGTTGCTCAAATGTTTTTTG